TTCCTACTTCTCCCTTTCCTAGGATATCAATGCAGTAATTATCTCCAAAATATACTTTACCTTTCTTACTCTTAACAAGTTTAGTAAAGAGTTTTTCGTTTCCAGTCATGTGGTGTGAACATCCACTGTCCAGTATCCATTCTCTGTCTTCCTTGCTCACTTGGAAGTAGACCTGGACATAAATGAGTTATTTTTATTTGTTTTTAGGAATCCATACCAATTTGGATACCCCTACTCTCGTTTTAACATCCACACAGTCATAAGTCAGGTGTCCTTTATTGTGACAAGAGAAACAGGTTACCTCCTTCAATCTAGCTTCCTTATATATTCGTTTATGACAATTTGCGATATAGTGTCCTAGTTTATGGCAGTAGAAACATTCAATAGTTGACTTGTTCTGACTTGTCCTAGTCCTTACATAATTAGTATAACCCTTGGGTTTGTTATGTCTGATTCTAGCAGCTTCTACTTCTACTTCTACATTTCTATTAGCCATTTCTTTCAACCTTTCATCTGTTGCCAATTTTTCGTTTAGCAGCTCATTGTACATGTTAGTCAGTTTTTCAAATTATGATTTTATTCTTAGGTGTTTGGCTTTCACATTAGAAAATTCTGTTTGAATATCCCTAATGGTATCTATCAGTTCATCATTCTCACTATAAGAATCAGAGTAGTAATTAGAAGTTCTAACCTGAGAAGTTTCACAGTTGTCCTCACTTTCGCCAACTGCCATGTAAGCTTCATACTTAGGCTCTATCTCCTCATCCTCATCTTCACTGCAGCTCCGGGTAGCTACATATCCCTTTTCTCGTTTGATTTGGGGACATTCTGCCTTGATATGCCCACTTCTACCACATTTGAAGCACCCTGCTGATGATCCTTTCTTCTCAGGTCCATGTAATTCTTTTCCCTCGTGCATGCTTTACTTCGAGTGGTCCATCAAGCACTATGCTCCATAGATCAGGATCAGTTGACATGATAAACAGCTCCATGCGATTTCGCCAATACCCGTAATGCACACCTTCAAACCTTGGAGGTCTTGTCTGCGAAAACCCATCATCCATGTAAATTCCTCCAGGATTCGTGCTCGAGCTCATCTTCTCCGTAGGTGATTAGACCTCTTGTGCCGGAGTCGGGCTCTGATACCACCTGTTGAATGAGTCGAGCGCGAGACTCAGGCGATGCTCCTCCTTTGTTCTTCGATCTAATTGAACCCTGAAAACCCTAATTTCGACTTTGGCAAAATCAAGTGAAAGAAGGTGAAATGAACTAACAGCCGAATCAAAAGGAAGGGACGAGACTTCTCTTTTCGTGTTTTTTGAAACGGCAGCGACTCTGTCACTTGGTCTTGAAGCGAACGGGGCTTAGATCATTATCGGCATGTTAATGCTTACCCGGCCCAAGTCACTTGAGCGAGACACTGCGTTTTGCAAACTCAATATCTACCTCCTTTCCTTAAGCCAATCGATCAACACCCTGTTATTTCTAAAGTTCACAGTCGCACAAAATCAAGAACGCTGATAAGAACTGGAAAATGTAAAAACACAGTAAACAACACATAAACCCAGACACGATATTTTTACGTGGTATCCAGTGTTAGGGGATGAATGAACCTAACACCGACTAATCCACGGTCGAAGGATCTCTGATTTAAGACCTTCGACGTTGCTCTATGATTTTGAGTTTCAGTTACAATGATACATCACCAATCTCGGAGTGACTCCCTGTCACTTGATCAGAGTCGCACTTGAGATACTAGCTCCCCGCGGGTACTCAACCTGACTGTCAACACACTCTACAAGCTCTCTCTCCGACAGCTCACTCCTTTTTCTTTTCAAAACACAGACTATCTCCCTGACTCTGTTTTTGAATGATTGCGTGAAAAAGGTTAACCCATATTTTCTCCATCCCTCTAAACTTATACTCATCCTCCTAGCCGTTAGTTCTTCCCAATCTTGAAGATTCGATTTGATCTTGCCCAATTGATAAACCGATCTTGCTTGATTGATAGATCTTTCCCCAATTGCTTGCCGAGACAAAGTTTCCTTCTTGGACCAATTCCTGCAGCTTTCTCAGTTAAACACTAATTGACAAGCTTCCCTTCAACAAAAGTAACTTGGGTGTTGTCTCCTCCTAGCTTCAAAATAGATCGATGATTGATTTTCCAAGTTAGTCAACTCATGATTTACACCTCAGAGAATCATATTCCAGGTTCATCTCCCTTTTGAGTTACTAAACCTTACCTAGAGCGAACTACCTGAAGGGAGAGATTCCACTTCTAGCAAAATAGAACGTCTAGCGTGCCAAGTAGACTCCCTCTATTGAAATACAATTCAATACAACATTGAGGCCCAATTTCAGCCTCCTAGAACTCTGTAATCCTCACGCTTTTTGTGTTGATGTCACAGTTGGCATTTCGTGATATTTGCACATGCCCATGAGACGGCTGCAACTTCCTCAAACTCGTGCAACTCTCACGATTTTGATGTAGATGTCGCGGTCTCACCGTGAGAATATGCTCTAGACTGTGAGCTTTGACACTTTTCTCCATTTTGTCCCGTTTTGGCTCCTTTTGTTTAACTTTCGTTCAAATTGCCAATTTCACCTGCAAGTACCTGAAATACACTCAAACATGCAAAACCTAGATTAAAAAAGATTCAAGGATGATGAAACACAAGTCAAACAACCAAGAAAGAAGGGGTATAAATGTGTATAATTTGGCTTGAATGACCATACAAAACAAGGACTGGCCAAATTACGAAGAAAGAAGGTGAATCCAAACTTGGGAATTTCCTATTCTTCTCTTTTTTACACTTCATTTCTCTCTCCCTCTATGAGTTAATGAGGAGACTTCCCCAATTCTAGGGTTTGTGCCACCATAGGCGTGAGAGGATTTAATGGGTGGCTTGATTAAAGCACACCATGATCCTTTACTATTCTGTGTGTCATGTAATGGCTCCGGCTCCAGGGAGGGAAGACTTCCTCGATGTAGGATCCATGGTGAGTAGTTGAGAATCCCCACAATATGTAACAATCAATACATTATGTGTAAGATACCATCTCGTAGCAGAACTAAGCATAAATATTTTTTTTATATGTAAGTATCGATAATACCATATTATAATTTAACAAAATCAAATGGAAGAGTTCAATCACCTCAGAAGTCGATAGAGACTGTAGCACATCCTTGAAAATTCTTTGGAATGATTAAATAAAACATTGAGGAGATAAACTTGATGCTTGGTTTCCGACACAGGTTGAGGATGCACTCGACCAAAATTTTATTAGTGTAAGCAAATTTAAATGAATTAATTATGTACTTCAGTAACATTCACATATTTGATTGGCTAAATAATAGTTTGAAGTTGAGTAGTGATAGATCTAAACACCCTTGTGGAATGCGACCTTATGCCACTATACTACGTTATGGATCATCGTATAAAATCATCTATCACTATGGTAGATGGTAATATAATTGGTTGCAAAACCTTTTCTGTAAATGTATTAAGAGCTGATATAATTTTGTATATCTCAATGAACACGTTCCTTTTTATGCAAAATTTTCATAATCCAACTAGAAATGAAGAAGACACTGTAACACCTTAGGCGAATCCAATATCGACAAAGCATGAGAGAGATCTATGGTTCATATGTTAGAGACCGACATTAACTGACAAGCCGCATGTTGGGATGAAATGAAGGAGTTCTTGAGAACTCTGAAATTAACAGTGCTCGCAGTGGAGCACTGCAAGGATAGGAGACCTTATGGGAAGTCACTTTGATATGCATTTCCAAGCAAAAAATCCGTGAGGATATAGGCCCAAAGCGGATAATATATTATCAGGAAAAAGTTTAAGATGTTACAGACGCGAATCAATTAAAAAAAGGAACATAGAAAAATTATCTTAACCATAAAATTTAAGCTTATGTACCATCACACAAACAAATTTACCATGGACACTGAGATTAAATACAATTGGGATAAGAGATTTAGGAGTGGCTATACATTCTAGTTCGGTAAAACTAGCCCGTCATTGACCCGGTCCTAGTCCTGTCTTTTTGGAAATATGGGGACGAAAGACGGAATTAGGTACAATCCAATTTTGACTCGGTTGGTCCCAATCCAGTTTTGACCCAGACAGTACAATACTCACTCAGCTCCTTCCCTCCATCTAGTTGATTCCGTAGTAGTGATGGCAATGGGGCAGGTCAGGGCGGGTCGGATACTTCAATACCCATGCCCGCACCACATTATTACGGGTCGGGCAAGTAATACCTGCGCGAGTACGGGGCAGGGCGAGTCGACCTACTCTTACATGTTATTTGGAAAAAAATACACCAGAAATTTTCTTTTCACGATATAATGAAGGAGAAAATAATTTATGAATGAAAATATTGATAATATAATGGGTAATTCAACCTAGTTAGTTGAAAGATCAAGTCTAACTCGTTGAAGAAAAGTCAAAATAGGAGAAATATGAATAAATATGGTAAGAAATTGAGATAAAATGGTCCAAGAATGGGGCAGTGAAGAGCAGGCGGGTTAGAAGTAGATACCCTTGCCTTGCCTCATCGCGGGTCAGGTCGGTTAATACGCGTGGGACAGGTACAAATTGCCATCACTATCCAGCTGTTGCTATCTGCTGGTCGATGTTTGGCTGCTGCTCATCTTAGTCTTCTCTCCTCATAAATCTTGCCTCGCGCAACTGTGAAAGAGAAGAGCTTGAGCGCACTGACAGACTGTATGGTGGAATGTGTTAGGGTAATGGGAATTGGCAGCTGGGCAGGAAGGACGAGGCTGGGTTCATTGCTCAGTTAGTGAGCCTGTTTTAATAGTTATTTGATCTTCTGATTTCGATCCGGTTTTAACACGAACCAGACTGGTCTGGATTTTTTTCTATTTCTGAGACCAAATACGGGATTAGATTGTTTTACATCCGGCCTCGATCTTAAACTATCCGGATTATACAGCCCGGTTTACTGTTAAACCAAAATCCCAAACCAAATAGCCCGCCTAAAGATATCTAGCTCCTTTCTCTTCTAAGCGAATTGGTCCCTTTCTGCTGAGATTTTGCGTGTGAATTCATACGAAATCAATGGCATGGAGTAAATAGACATTAACTAACAACTGAAACCTCAATCCATCATCCCAGGTGGACGCCCAACCGCTTCTCCTTTTAAACCTCAACCCTCATCAATTCTCAGCAGCAGGCCCCAACCCAACACGTTTCCAACAAAGAAAAAAAAAACTGTATTTGGGGTGGCAAGGGTTTTAGTTCTTAAGATCTTACGTGTTCGTCTTCTCGCTCTGGTCATCCAGCTTGGGAAATAAAGCCCCACTCCGCTCTCTGCTCTTTCAGTTTCCGGTTGTCACCATCCATCAATTCTCTCTCTGTCTCTCTCTTTATTTCGTACGTGGCCGACCTTAATCTCCACCGTCAGCAAATTTCATTTAATTACTCCCATCATCTCATTATCGTTCTTCCCTCCCATTCCTATCGCTATTTGACTTATTTCTTCCCCTGCTCCCAATTCCGCTTCCCCAACTACTCTGGAGGTTGTTTTAGTTTGTTAGTTGGAGAGAAAGATGGGGAATTGCCAAGCGGCGGAGGCGGCGACGGTGGTGATTCAGCATCCGGCGGAGAACCGGGTCGACCGATTTTACTGGTCGGTGAGTGCCCTCGAGGTTATGAACTCCAATCCTGGCCATTACGTGGCGCTGGTGGCGCCGAGTGCCAAGACCGAGTACGCCACGACTCCGGTGAAGCAGCTCAAGCTTCTGAAGCCCAGCGACACCCTTCTCCTCGGCCAGGTTTATCGACTCATCAGTTTCGAAGGTGCCCTGCAAAATTCTGTTCTTTACTTCTTAGTTGCTCTGTTTTGGCTACGTGCTCTGTTTCATATCAACTTTTCCGTTTCCCGCTCAGATGTTCTGAAGGAGTTGTATGGGAAGAAGAGCGTGAAACTGGGGACGCTTCTGAAAGAGAGAGGCAGAGGGCCGGAAAAAGTATTGACGGGGCTTGGAGATGCATCGGAGATTGGGAGGAGGAAAAGCTCCGGCGGGTTGAAACTGAATGTGGACGGTAGCTCTGCTAACACGGTAAGTGATCACTCTGTTTCCAAAACCTTCACTTGAAACGGTTATTTTGTTTACCCAATTGGGCATGAGAGTGAATACAGAAATCTAAAACTATATCAGAAAGAAAATAGGGAAAGGAAGGAGGTAGAAGTTAAAATGAGATGGTGGAGGTGGGGCTGTAAGTCAGTCGCCTGTAACTCTGCTGCAGAAGAACAGAGCTGCGATGCGAGTAATGCAAACGGCAGTAGTCCATTCTCTAAACGAGAAAAAAACAGGGGAAAGGGAGGGGAGGGGACAGTATTGCTTTCTCTTTTTCTTCCTATTGTTGTCACCTCATCAGTTGGTAAGGGGATTTGGCCTTTTTCCATTAATCATGATGATGAGACTAGTGAAAACAAGAAAAAAGATTAACGGAGGAAACGTCGTTCTGAGGGAAAAGAAAAGTGATGAGCTTTTTTCAAACAATATTAGAAAAGAAAAAGGGGGAGAGCGACCTCTCCACGGCAAGTGTTTGCTTGCAATATCTCCCACATCAATGGTCCGTCCATGGCGCATGAAAAGTTGGTTGTTAAACCTCAATTAATTGTTACTAAGCTTTTTGTGTGTAGGAGGAGGTTCACCAACTGCAACTGCAACTGGGGAGGAGCAGCAGCAGCAGCAGACTTGTGAGTGGAAGGCAGCATGGAGGGCAAGGGCAATGGAGGCCAGCATTGCAAAGCATTTCTGAGATTGGGACTTAGGCAGATCTTAAGGACTTGCCCGGCTCGAATTGAATAAAATCACGGCAGTTGTTAGAAGCATGCATCAGTGGCCATTAATTAGTACAGTGGTTCCCCCTTTTTTTTCCCAGAGACAGCAGAAAATTATTATGAGTATGAAAGTTAATTTGGTTGCATGGAGCTTTGGTGTTCTTGGTGCTCTTCTCTGCCATAACCTTGCTCATGTCACTGGACTTTATGTATGAATGACTTGCTTCAAGGTTACTGTCTCAAGTAAGAGTTGGAAGGGAAGGCTAGATGTTCAAGTAAAGCCGTTTATTCCATCAGGTTTTTGTGTCAGTGAAAAGGTTAATAGTACCATTACTAATTTACTTACACAGTTGCACAGCTTGTGGTTGCCGGGGAGCTAAGTTTCGACGGTCCACAGATGTGATTTACTATTCGTCGCTCTAAAATTTCAAACTTTTCCGTCCTAAATTGAAAAAAAAGGCAAAATATATTTATCATTACAAGAAAACCTAGCTATAGAGACAAATAATTAGAAACAATTATTGTATTTCCCTATAGCTAAGCTTTAGTGGCAAAAATATTATTTGTCTCGGTAGATGAAATTATTTGTCACTATTTCTTTATATTCTCGTATAATTTATACAAAACAAATTAAATTAATAGCTTTAGAGACATTTATTCTATTTGAGCCTGTATAATATATAAATCATTCATATAGAGATAAATTTAATAGTTTTTAGATGCAAATACAAATACTACCTATAGTTATGTCATAGAGTGCAAATATAATCATCTTTAGATGCAAATAAAAATGCTACTTATAATTATATCATATAGAGACAAATGTAATAGTATCTAGAGACAAATAATAGTTCTAACCGCAATAAAATAAATTTATTATTTTATTGATATAAAATAATATATTATTGACTCATTTATGTGTAAATAAATAACCCTCGGTAAAAAAATAATTCTCCAAATCTCTTCTCTTCGTCTCTTCTATTATTTGTCTTCCCTCTCCTCTCTCTATTATCCTTTACCTTATGAGGAACCCTAATGGAAAAAGCATTCAAAATTTCAAATCCGAAGAAGGCCACTTCTCCAATCTCATCTCCCCACTGCAATCTGAATCGATCGACAACACACACAATCGCACAGCCCCTTAGCCTCTCATCTCCACTCTTGATTTCTAACCCAATTCCAGCGACAACTTCTCTCCCTGTATCTTCTCCGATTCTTTGACCCGAAGATTTCTATCTCTAGTGTTACTATGACAGGACTGGTAAGTTCTTTTTATCCCTTCGCCATTCTTGCTCTATTCGACTCTTTATGATTTGTAAAGCTCTGCGATTGGATCTTGGATTTGCGGATTCCTTTTGGTTTTGACTACTGTGCGATACGCTCATCTTTTCGGTGGTAGTATGTGGATGGGCTAAAATCATAAAATGGGTTGTGATTAACTAGTGAGGCTTTTAACTTTTCGGAATCACAAGTTATGGCTAATTCAATTGCCGTGGGTATCCTTTTCCTTTTGTAGGCCAGTTATGTGTGGAATATGGACCGAGGTATAATTATACAATAGACACTTTTTTAGAAATACACAAAGTAGCCAGAATTTTGAAAGTTCCATAATAAATATAGTCATTTCCGTTACAAAATTTAACTGTGTTAGAAATTCCATGAGTTAGATTAACGTTAGGTTGACTAAAATGCCAAATCATCACATACATCAGCGACAACTCAGCCGTTGATGCCACGTGTCAATTTATATTTTTCTTTAATCACAAAATTGAACTAAAGAAAAATAAACCTATCGATCCCCTTTCATCTTCTTCCTCTGGGCAGAAGAAGAACCGATTTTATGGGCGAACTTGAACCACCGCCTCTCCTCCGACCTCGGCACCCCTCGAGTACATGCGAAGCTTGAATTAGGTTGGAGATTTGATGAATGAAAAGGCTTGCTAGTGGGAGTTGATGCAGAGAAGAAGTCGGGGTATCTATTGGCGCTCGATTCTCCTTTGATGGTGGCGAGGATGAGGAAGTGGTATGCGGAGAGGGCCAGACCAGACCTGGCGGCGCCATCATTAACCACACAAGGGTAGGGAGAAGATGGCAGGACATCAATCTACAACTACTCCCGCAACCACAGTTCAACTGTCAATCGATAGCGATGGTGACGGCGGCGGGGATTTGGGGATTATGGTTTTGGTGGTGGCGATTTGGGAATTAGAGATTTGGTCTCCGCTGTATGCCTTCTCCATTCCACCCAAAGAAGACGATCCATTCGTAGAATTTCTGGTTCGACTCTAGCACCCCTGATCCACCTTCCATTGCCAGAAAGCATTCTAAAAATTCTGATTCGCCTCCTCCCATTGATAGAAAGCCTCGACGAATCCCTGCATCTTGCGTCCTTGTCGCAAAGTTTGGTCGTTTGGTTTTGGTGATAGTTAAATCGATGTATTGTAATCAATGCATGCATAATAATATACATGTATATAAGAAAATTGGTGTATTGTAGTTTACATCGTTTGGTTTATGTGATAGTTATTGTAGTAGTTACATAAATTATATCACTTTTTGGATGAAATGTCACTTTGACCTTTTGTTTTTAATATAAAAAAGCAGCACACATAAAAGGGTAGGGACATATTTGGAAGAAGAAGAAAACACAACAATCTCTATCAAACAATCTCAATGAAAACTTGAGATTTAACTACCACTCATTTTGAGTGATAGTTTGTGTCAAAGCAAACAAACAATGCATGTATTGTTTGCGCAGAAAATTCAAAAAAATGATGCATTGTGGACATTGCATGCATTGTAACTATCCCAAGCAAACTATCACTAAAACCAAACGACCCCTAATAAGTTATATTTATTTTTTTAAATTTACAGGATCAACTTGTGAAGATGGGGATGCTGCGGTAGAAGTACAAAACCACTTTAATCGCTGGTTTCGGTGATTTGATATCCAATTTTGACTTATTTTTAAGTATTTTAACAAACAAGTGTAGTCGCCGGCACTGTCGCAGCCTTTGGCGGCGATCACCTTCACTATCACACTCAAGAAGCGTCAGAGGCAACTTAAACAAGCTTGAGAAGTTACAAATCCTGAACATCGGTGGGAGAAAAATGAAAAAGATCTTCGGCGAAAGGGAGATAAAGAAACCCATTTGTTATTACTTTTTTGTTATGAATAATTATCCCCTAAATGGCAGTACAACACCAATTAAACACAAGGTGGAAGAGAAGATATATCACCACTTTTATTCTATACCCTCAAATACATATAATACATATAGTACACTGATACAATAGATGAAATACATATAGAGAAGGGGGAAAGAGCTTGGTGTATAATCTCCTTCTACGAAGGTGTCTTTATATAGGCACTAGTCCATGCACAGATCAGCTCTCTATTGGTTGGTCTCTATTGATTACTCGTGGTTAGGGAAATGGGTGTTGGAGGAAGGACATCCACAAATATATATTTATAATACTCCGCCTTGGATGTCCATTGATTAAGAACATGTCTTGTTAAAACCTTACCAGGAAAAATCCATTGGGATAAAAACCTAGTCGAGGAAAAAGAGTACATGATTCTGGTGTTACGCTTTTGGATATTGCCTCATTAAAAACCTTACCAGGAAAACCTAGTGGGAAAAACCTTGGTTAAGGGAAAAAGAGTGCAATACGTAAAGGCTCTCCCTCATTAAGAGATCTATCAACGGTTTGGAGTTTTCGAACTCCAATAAATTTTCACATGTTGTTGTGGAATGTAGTACTGTTATAGGAAAATCTGTTGGATAGTCTTTAATAAACTTTTTGGTTCCACAACTCTCATGAAGTTCATTATTGAAAAACAAACTTCGCTAAAAATATTCATATATGTACCTTTTCAGAAGATACGTGTAGTATCTCTTTCATATATGATCATCTAGATCAATCTTTGAGAAATATGTAAAATAATGGATAACTTTATCAAATAGATCATTATTCTCATAGTGATCTTAATCATCAATATATCTTACTCATTCTTATCATTTGTGCATTTTTTATATATTTCTTGATGCACATGACTTTCCCTTGCAAATATTTGATTTGCAATCTAGGGGATAGTCTTGTTCTTTCAAGTTATTGATTTCAATTACTTTTGATTACTCTTTTAGAGTTTCAAGTCATTAATAACTTCTTATGTTTGAATACTCTTCTAAAGTTTCAAACCTATTTATACATTCAATCTCAACTTGGGATCATTGTTCATAAATGTGTCGACACCCCAAAGGTGACAAAGAATTTGTCAACACATTGTTATAAGAAGTTTGGTACCTTCAACCAATGACTCTTTGTCAGAATACATGAAACCGTCATTGGAAGGCATTCTAGGCAAATACATCCTCCTGTCTCGAATGTATTATTCCCTTCTTGTAGGAAATTCATCGAGACTGTCATTTTGGCGATGCTCTTTCGATTTGATTTTGAAGGTTTAATGAGTTGAATAATGTTCCCCATAATCTTAATATGTTTGATTCGAGCAAACTAACTCCTTCAGAGAGTTTCATATCTATATCATTTGTCAAACACATGCTTAATAAGTGCATTGTAGCAAAATAGTTTCATATCGATATCATTTGTCAAACACATGCTTAATAACTGCCAAAAGTTATATCCACCATATGAAAGTCTACTCACAGTCAATGCCAACTATTTTGCGAAGACTTTATGACAAGTCGAGCATGATATCTCTTAATTTCTCCCTCTATGTCGTGTCTTCGTAGAACATCACATGAGTTTTACTGGAATTGCTTCTGTATAGCTCTTAAGACCTTTTACTGTCTAGGCTAGTTCATAACTGCCTCAAATGCGTCGTTACAACTTGGTCTATAACCTTTTTAAGGGGGTGACCAATGGATCTAACTTCACGATCCTTATTCATATCATATTGCGCGCTACAATATATAAAAACATTATCGTCAACGTTGACTTCCTTTCGATTCCATTGAATCTGATCCAAGATATAATTTATTGGAATTTCTTTCATAATCGCGAAACAGGTACCTGTGGTTCTTCAAGACCAATGTTATAATACTTGGAGATTCAAATAAGCTTGCAATATCCTCATCATAAAGACCATCTTTATTTGGAGCTCATTTTTGCGAGAACTTGTATTTCCTTGGAATCAATAGTTTCAACACATTACATATGTGTGTGCAACATATCCTTCTAGGATATAATTCTTAAGAGCATTAGCAGCTTTTTGTGACTTAGTCAATCCTTTGTGATCACTTTAGAAATGAATTATCTTTGAACTTCAAGTTAATATTACAAGTGTGAGGATCAGAATTCATTTCAACCAATTTTAGAATCAACTGCTTATTTTCCTCCCACTGATATTGGAAAGATCGAAATAACAATTTCAACAAATATAATACAGTTAATTTACTATTCTCATCAAAATAATGGAGACTTCTTGCTCAACATTAGTTTTCAATAGCCTTTGAAGAACCCATATTTGTAAATTGTGGTGGAACAATTCACAACATATAATCCATCATAAATTCTTTGATGGAAAGTTTAAGATTCCTTATCAAAACCAATTTGTACAGGGGTTTAGCGACAACTTGTTGGCATGATGCAAAAAGTGATACTCCTACATGTAACTGGCATGTCCTTAATAAGTTGTTTCACATGCTTATGCACAAGCATGTGCTACATGACATTTGATATTGAAAGCAATAATATGATATTTAAACCCACCAATAATCATCAAGAAGTATTTTCTTCATATCGAACATTTGTTCATATATGCCCATAAGTGAATTAATTGTGCAACCAATATTGCAAACTTGAGGTTGTAGGTGGAGTGACCATTTAGACGATTCATCCATTAAAACCATAAAATAACTAAATGATCTATATGGTGCAATATTCTAATAATTTCATATTGTATATACTAATCACTTCTTACTTTCATAGGTGATCTCATAATCAACTTTTCTTGGGAATATACAGCACAAGAAAAATCCTTCATTGTGGAATTTTCGATAATATTCTCATCAAAGATTTTCAAGAATCCTTGATTTTAATTTGCATCATAACTGATTCGGGATGGCCCAACCGGTCATGCCAAGCAATCAACTTACAACAAACATAAACTTCATGTTTATGGTTTGTTTCGTTACCTTTTGCTTCAAGAGGAAAGATTAACTCAGAGTAGTAATTCAGCATAATAACATGTATTATGCAATATGTTAAGAATAAGGATACCAAAAGGGGCAACAAGCGAAGTGGTATGGCTCTTTGACTTTAATTGGAACGTTGTAGGTTCGAACCCCATTAACGCCAGATTTCGAACCCTAAAGATTCTTTTCATAAACCATATCACAATATGTGGTAGATATACTTCTGCCATTTTATGTGGTTTATGTTTACGACATATTACCCTACCAATAGAAAACTGTTGGATACAACATATAACACAATATCTCAGTATTATCGCCTTATAATTTTCATATGCTTCTGGCATTTTATGGATAATGTTGACCGACATATTACCCTACCAATAGAAAACTGTTGAATACAACATATAACATATAACACAATATCTCAATATTGTCGCCTGATAATTTTGATATGCCTCTGGCATTTTGTGGTAAATGTCGACCATATTATCCTACCTCTTTTGTTTCTTTCCAAAATTTCAAACCAAAATCTTCTCAATATTATCCAAAATCTATCACATCAACATCATTATCTTATCCCATTTTTCGGCTATAGAAAAACAATCTTCCTCCTTTTCATTTCATTCTACTCAAACCGAAATATTCATACATCATCTCTCAATTCCATCATTCTTCTTCCCTTCTTTGGAACACTTCTCGTCATAAGTCGCTTCAGGGATTTTATCGGGTTCGAGTGAAGCACTGGGTGAAGATCTCTAGGAGACATTTCTTCACCCATTGCTTCACTCGAACTCGATAAGATCTCTGGAGCCACTTATGACGAGAATTGTTCCAAAGAAGGGAAGAAGAATGATGGAATTGAGAGATGATGTATGAAATTTTCGGTTTGAGAATAATGAAATGAAAAGGAGGAAGATTGTTTTTTGATAGCCGAAAAAGGGGATAAGATAAGGGTGTTGATGTGGTAGATTTTGGATAATATTGAGAAGATTTTTTTTGAAATTTTGTAAAGGAACAAAAGAGGTAGGGTAATATGTCGGTCGACATTACCCACAAAATGCCAGAAGCATATCAAAATTATCAGACGACAATACTGAGATATTGTGTAATATTTGGTAGGATAATGGGATGTTTAGAAGTAGATAAATATGCCTCCAAAAGTAATATATTTATGCGGTTGATGGCATCTTAAATAGGCACATATAAATCAGTCGTTAATAGTTGGATCTAGAGGCAAATCATTTGCCTGTTAACATCATTTCTCCGACTATTATACTGGGCGTTGATGGACATAGTTGAAGTCAGATCAATAGCCTCTAAAAGTATTTTTATTAGCCTCTAGATACCATTGTACCTAATTTCCAGACTCACATTTATAGCAAAACATTTAATTTTGATCTCAACTGAACTATAAAAAAATTGAGAAAAGAAGACAAACATGCATAGATAAAAAAATTCCTATTGGCATATGAACAATAGGTACGAATACAACGAAGCTATTGATGAGAAAAACGGTGTCATCTGGTAAATGAGAACTAACAGAAACTATTCACATAATAGAGTTGACAAATTTATAAGACTTGCTAAGTTTCAAATTAATGGCGCTTCTGTTGCAAATGAGTGAAAGTTATTGATCCTCCTGTCAAATTTCTCAGATACACTGGCTTTCATGTCACCTCTAATGCCTTGGTGATATATCTACAATCTGCAAAATTATCAAACTCTTTTAATGAGACATAAAAATAGTTGTATCCCACTAATGAACAAGTATTACAAAGAACTTGATGCTGCGAAAGATAATGTCTAGCACATAAGTAAAATGAGAGCTAAAATGACGAATGATGAATAGAAATGAGAGGAAATATGAATTTAATATAAATATTATTAGTAGTCATCTCATCGACAACAGCCTGTGTTTTAGAAGAAAGTTGAGCTAAGTTGAAGTAAAGTAAGGAAAAGAGTTTCATATCAGAAACTAAGGTCACTGGACTATGCTCCCATAGGATATGCTTTGATTTTGATACCTGGAGTACTTGTTGCTTCAATTCCATGGATAAGAGTTTATGTTGAATGCCTTGCATATTGAAGTAGTGAAACAAAAACTCCATATCATGTCATGTCAGCATACTCATGTCATGTCAGCATAAATGATAATTGAATCAAAGCTTTGGAAGCATATCATGTCAGCATGAGAACAATGTCACATACTCGATAGAGAATGCTGCAACTTCCATGTCTCGATTACATCGAAGTTGTGCAGAAGCTCTGAGCTCTACTATTATACTCAGGAAACAATATTACGATGTGCATGATTCAAGTTATAGAAGCAGAGTTCATATTTTCAATGTTTAGCCTATGTCTAGCAATAAAAAAGAGACAGCTCCAACAATAAAAATTTTGGCAGAGCTTATCCAATTTTTATCACAATTCACAGGCAGAGCTTATCCAATTTTGCACAAGAACTTTTCCACTCACTTCTTATTCTAGAAGACCGACATTAACCGTTAAGTATGGCCCCCGTTCAAGTCAACACCTGTATAGGAACATGCATATAAAGAGCACAATAAGAGGGGTTGGGAGGAGCAGACGAAGCTATGGATCAATCATAAAGAATTCAATTGAAAAAACAAGAGGGAAAAATTAATTGTTCAAGTACAAGAATGGAAAGAGCCATACCAGCTACCGCCAGCATAGAGTAAAGCCCCTACACGAGTACAACCACAACTTGTGCTTCGTCGTCAATGCCATGAACAAAATCTCGAACTCAAGCTGCGTGGACCCCAATTCTTGTTGCCGGCAACCCTAATTTTTTCCTACTAGATCTCAATCCTAGAGATCTAATGAAACAACATGAGGATGGGGCAGGGTGAAAGGGGAAGTGATGGGAACACATATAAAAAACCCTAAAATTCCAGAAAATTCCAATTGGATCGGCGATTCTGTGAATTTTAATCACAGTGATCTTGACGATGAAGGCGAGGAATATCGCCGGGTGGATACTTTAATTTGTAGGAAGGAGGAGAACTGGAGAAGGAGAGGGATACGAAGGAGGAGGAATGAGGCCCTTTTGATGGACGTGGAGAAGGACATTGGAATGGCACAGCTGAGAGAGGAAGAAACACGCTTAGCACGGATAGAATGATGAAGGAACGAACGAATATGAACAGGACGATAAGTTGCTAGTTTTAATTAAATTCCTTTTTTTGTTAATCAATTATCATTTTTTATAATCGCTATTCGTGGGAATAGTATTTGCATGCAATCCTAACACTTGTATCGACTAATCCAACAAGTGTCTTTAAATGTTAATTTATTCCAGAGTTGCTCATATATAGAGACAAATAGAATATCTACCCCTAAAAAAACCACTCACATGATTTTTTAATGAAAAAATTCAATTGGAGGCCATTGATATCAAATATAGCGGAAGATGAGATAATTGTCGACATTTATTAATTTTTAACGACATATATATAAAGTGGTAGTTATGCTTCTGCCATTTTATGTGGGTTATGTTTACGACATATTACCCTACTAATAGAAAACTGTTGGATACAACATATAACACAATATCTCAGTATTATCGCCTAATAATTTTGATATGCTTCTGGCATTTTGTGGATAATGTCGACCGACATATTACCCTACCAATAGAAAACTGTTGGATGCAACATATAACACAATATCTCAGTATTGTCGCCTGATAATTTTGATATGCTTCTGGCATTTTGTGGGTAATGTCGACCGACATATTACCCTAGCTCTTTTGTTTCTTTCCAAAATTTCAAACCAAAATCTTCTCAATATTATCCAAAATCTATCACATAAACATCCTTATCTTATCTCCTTTTTCGGCTATAAAAAACAATATTCCTCCTTTTCATTTCATTCTACTCAAACCGAAAAAATTCATACATCATCTCTCAATTCCATCATTCTTCTTCCCTTATTTGCAAGACCTCTCGTCATAAGTCGCTTCAGGGATCTTATTGAGTTCGAGTGAAGAAATGGGTGAAGAAATGTCCCCCAAAGAGATCATGGATAGCCATACCAGTCATGCCAAGCAATCAATTTACAACAAACATATACTTCAGGTTTATGGTTTGTTTCGTTACCTTTTGCTTCAGGAGGAAAGATTAACTCAGAGTAGTAATTCAACATAATAACATGTATTATGCAATATGTTAAGAATAAGGATACCAAAAGGGGCCGCAGGCGAAGTGGTATGGCTCTTTGACTTCAACTGGAACGTTGTAGGTTCCAACCCCATTAACGCCAGATTTTGAACCCTAATGATTCTTTTCATAAACCATATCACAATATGTGGTAGATATACTTCTGCCATTTTATGTGATTTATGTTTACGACATATTACCTTCCCAATAGAAAATTGTTGGATACAACATATAACACAATATCTCAGTATTATCGCCTAATAATTTTGATATGCTTCTGGCATTTTATGGATAATGTTGACCGACATATTACCCTACCAATAAAAAACTGTTGAATACAACATATAACACAATATCTCAGCATTGTCGCCTGATAATTTTGATATGCTTCTGGCATTTTGTGGTTAATGTCGACCATATTATCCTACCTCTTGTTTCTTTCCAAAATTTCAAACCAAAATCTTCTCAATATTATCCAAAATCTATCACATCCATCATTATGTTATCCCCTTTTTCGGCTATAAAACAACAATCTTCCTCCTTTTCATTTCATTATTCTCAAACCGAAAATTTCATACATCATCTCTCAATTCCATCATTCTTCTTCCCTTCTTTGGAACACTTCTCGTCATAAGTCGCTTCAGGGAACTTATCGGGTTCGAGTGAAGCACTGGGTGAAGAGAAGTGTTCCAAAGAAGGGAAGAAGAATGATGGAATTGAGAGATGATGTATGAAATTTTCGGTTTGAGAATAATGAAATGAAAAGGAGGAAGATTGTTGTTTGATAGCCGAAAAAGGGGATAAGATAAGGATGTTGATGTGGTAGATTTATGATAATATTGAGAAGATTTTGGTTTGAAATTTTGGAAAGGAACAAAAGAGGTAGGGTAATATGTCGGTCGACATTACCCACAAAATGCCAGAAGCATATCAAAATTATCAGACGACAATACGAAGATATTGTGTTATATTTGGTAGGATAATGTGTCGGCAAACATAACCCACATAAATGCTGAAGCATATCTACCATATATTGTGATATGATATATTAAAGAGTATTCTTTTGATGTAACCAAAAGAATAGGGTTCGAAATCTGGTGTTAATAGGGCTCGAACCCGCAACATTCCAGTTGAGGTCAAAGAACCCTACCACTTCAGCCGCGTCCCCTTTGGTATCCTTATTCTTAAAATATTGCATAATACATGTTATTGTGCTAAATTACTACATGTTATTGTGTTGAATTACTACTCATAGTTAATACTTATTCCTGAAGCAACAAGTAATTAAACAAGCCATAAACCTTTAGTTTTATGTTTGTTGTGAATTGATTGCTTGACATGACCGGTTGGGCCATCCCGAATCAGTTATGTTGCAAATTATAATTGAGAATTCACGTAAATCTTTTATGAGAATATTAGCAAAAATTCCACAACGAAGGATTTTTCTCCTGCTGCTTATTCTCAAGGAAAGTGGATTATGAGATCCCCAATGAAAGTAAGAAGTGATTAGTGTATACAATTTGAATTATTGGATTAATGCACCATATGGATCATTTACTTATTTTATAATTTTAATCAATGCATCGTCTAAATGATTACTCCATCTGCAACCCGAAGTTTGCAAGATTGGTTGCTCAATTGATTCAATCATGGCCATATATGAATGAATTTTCTATATGAAGAAAATACTTCTTGACAAATAATGGTGGATTTACATATACCATATTATTAGGTTCGATATGAATTATCATGTATCACATATATGTGCATAAACTTGTGAACCACTTATCAAAGACATGTCAGTTGCATGTAGCAGTATGATTTTGCATCATGCCAACAAGTTATCACTACTAAACCCTGTACAAATTGGTTTGGATCAGAAACCTTAAAATTCCTATCAAAGAATTTATGGAAGTAAATTACATGTTGTAAATTGTTCCACCACAATTTACAAAGATGGGTTTTGCAAATGATATTGGAAATCAATGTGTGAGCAAGAAGTCTCCATTGTGGTGATGAGACTAGAATAATTTTACATGATATTTGTTGACATTGTTATTTCAACAAATCAATCTTTCCAATATCGGGGGAGAAAAATAGCAGCATATTCAAAATTGATTGAAATAAATTATGTTCCTCACATTTGTAATGTGAACTTGAAGTTCAAACATAATTCATTTGCAAAGTTTAGTAAGCCTACTGATAGGCGTAATTACTGACCCACAAAGAAGTGACTAAGTCACAAAAGGCTGCTAATACACCTAAGATTATATCCCCGAAGGATATTTTACACAGATATGTAATGTGTTGAAACTATCAATTCCAAGGAAATATAAATCCTCAAATAGTAAAAGGAGATTAGAATAAAGATGGTCTTTATGATGAAGATATTGTATACCTGTTCGAATCTCCAAGTATTATAATACTGGTCTAAAAAAACCACATGTACCTGTTTAGGGAAATGAAAGGAATCCCAATAAATGATATCTTGGATGAGATTCAACGAAATCGAAAAGAAGTCAACGTTGACGATAAATGTTTATCTATTGTAGCGCGCAATATGATAATGAGCATGAGGATCATTAAGTTAGATATGTTGATCAGTATAATCAAATGATTGACCACGTTGTAACAATGCATTTGAGGCAGTTCTGAACTAGCCTACAGAAGTCATACCCACATATGCATATGTAATGCCAGTAAAACACATATGATGTTTTACGAAGACATGACAAAGGGGGAGAGATTAAGAGATATCGTGCTCGAATTTTCATTAGGGTCTTTGTAAAATAATATGCTATTGATTGTGAGGAGACTTACGTAGTTGCGCTTATTTGGTGGATAATATTTAGCAGTATGAGGAAGTTATATGCATCTAGTGAATGTTATTACAGGTGCACTTATAAAGCATGCGCTTGATGATGATATCAATATGAAACTCTCTGAAGGAGTTAGTTTGGTCGAAGCAAATATGTTAATGTTCTAGGAAACATTATTCAACTCATTAAACCTTCTAAACAAATAGAATGATCATGACAGTCTCGATGAAGAAAGGAAGAATACGTTAGAGAAAGACGAATGCATTTACCTAGAATACCTTACAATGATTGTTTCAAGTGTTCTTACAAAGAATCATTGGTTGAAGGTACCAAACTTCTTATGACAATGTGTTGACAAATTCTTTGCCACCTTTGGGGTGTCGTAGTGTCGACACATTTCTAGGCTAAAATTTTTAGGCTTCGAGAGACTATATTTCGCCTAAAATTTTCTTCACTCATGACCTTCAGAAGAACGGTGAAATAAAAATACTTCAGATTCGTTCATGTGATAATCTAGCAGATTTATTCACAAAGTCACTTCCTACTTCAGCATTTGAGAAGCTAGTCCACAAGATTGGAGTTCGACGACTCAAAGATCTTCAAATATGTCACAATGAGGGGGATGAGTCAATTCCGGAAGTGAAACTTTTTTCTATTATCATGATTTTTATATGTATTCAAGATCCTATATATCTGAGACAACTTTGGAGTGAAAGTTTTTATCATTATATCGAATGTTTTATGTACTGAAGATCATGTAGATCTGAAGTAACCCAAGAAGTAAAAATGTTTATATTATCACGATTGTTCAGATCGACAGGATCATGAGTATATAGAAAAATCGTGCTGATAACGTGTTATGAATAATTATCCACAAAATGGAAGTACAACACCAATTAAACACAAGGTGGAAGAGAAGGTATATCACCACTTTTATTCTATACCCTCAAATACATATAGTACAGTGATACAATAGATGGAATATATACAGAGAAGGGGGAAAGAGCTTGGTGTATAATCTCCTTCTACGAAGGTGTCTTTATATAGGCACTAGTCCAAGCCCATATCACCTCTCCATTGGTTGGTCTCCATTGATTACTGGTGGTTAGGGAAGTGAGTGTTGGAGGAAGGACATCCACAAATATATTTTTATAATAGTTTTGTTTTCATTGACTTACCTTTTAGTTTCACAAATCAAAAGAACTATTGAAATTTTAATATTTTATTTTGATTTATTCCATTCATCCATGTGAAATTGTTGCTGACAAAATGTTGTCGTCAGCTTTTTTGTTAGTCTAGTAAGCTTGTTAATTGACACCGTTAAAGTAACGATGGAATTGGCTATTATGTGTATTTCGTAAAAAGTGACTATTATTGTCACAAACGCTAAAGTTTTGGCTACACAAATGTATTTTGCCTTACAAAAATGGACATATTTGATTTTAGCCCAAATTTCTAACCTAAACCTCAAATGAAGAATGTGCCAATATCGAATTTTGCTACCCGTTGCCGCTGCTATGTTGCGAGCTTGATGGGGAGGACAAAGAACAAAAGCGTCCACCAGTTGTTGTCATCACTGACTCCAGGGTGTAGTCGTCGTCAGAAGAAGGAAACTCTGACGTTGCCCACATCGATCGGGATGAGTAAGAAAAGGGGAGGAGAAGAGAGTTGTCGTGTCGGCCTCTCCTGCCGGTTAGGCAGGGCATACACTAAACCATTGATCGGGACGAGCGTGCCACCCGCCTGGTCGTAGATCATCTCGAATAGGTCACCCGCCTTGTCACAACTTCTCCTTCATCCTCGACTCGGCGACAAGGCGATGGTTGGTTGCGCAGAAAGCTATGGAGCTCGGACGGATCTAGGTCCTGCGTGAGTTTGCACAGAGACGACCTCTGTTTATTGGAGGGGAAAAGGAATGGAAACGGGAAGAGAGTTAAACGGGTGGGTTATAGGGTTTAGGTTAAATTGGGATAAAATCGTATGTTTGGGTAATTCTATGGCAAACAATTAAAATAGTTAGGGCGTTAAATGGAAGTTCAGCCACATGTCACATGTTCAACCCTAAGCACCAACTCAAAAAAAAAAAGGAAGTAAAAGAATGTGTATATCTATTTCACTGGTAATAGATGATTGGTTTGCTTAACTTTGGGGTGAAGGTATATGCTAAAGGAACCTAATTATTTCGATATTGGAGCTTTGTTAATTTTGTAGTGGCGATCCCATAAATCCTAGCTCTAGGGTTCACATGCATCTTGCCGGGGAGGTGGAATCCCTATGAAGTCATCGACAACCAAAGATAAACTCGGGACTTTACTGACCACCCTCGGAAACCTCGTCCCCCTAACCGCAAACAAGATCGTGAAACCCAACAGGGAAAAATGCAGGCAAAGCCCATAATGAACAATCCCCTATTTGGAGTGTATGTAACAATGGAGGAGGAACATGGATGCCTCAAGGAAAGCTCTCCCAACGTAGCACCGCCGAGCTCATCTGGTTTGTTGGCAAATTCTGCCTGGACCAAGAAACAAAAAGTGCTATTTAGTGTCCTTCTTTCCCAAGACGTGTGGCACGTTGAGAAATCTGACTCTAAAGACTTTGCGGCAGCAGTATGTGAAGCGAACATGGACGATGAAGTGCCAGAGGATGATGATATCTGTTTCCTGACCATTCCATTCAAATCGATGGAGAAGCAACGCTTTCATCATAACTGGTGCCCAACCTTGATTGTAAAGGTGTTTGGTCGGACATTTCCTTTTTGAATTATCTTTCGTAGATTGGAATCCCTCTCGGCGGAGCATGGTTACTGGTAGATATTGAGTATATTGTATGTTTGCTACATTGTTCGCTTTATCAACCAGTTTGATATACTAACAGCGGCAACTGGGGTCGTGGAAGATCGAAGAGCATTACTTGACAGTTCTCCACTACCGCCGGGGGTTTGATCCCCAAACATCTACAGTGGTTTCCATGCTAGTATGGTCCCAGATCTCAAATTTGACCCTTGATTTCTTTGAAAGGGTAGTGGTGCTTCGCATTGTTAGCTAAATCGGGAGGGCGGTAAAAGTGGACTGAGCCACGGAGACGGTAGAGAGGCTACAATTTGTGTGTATGTGTTGAGCTTGATTTGATGAAGCCTCTTCTTTCTCAATACAAAGATTGAAATGTTCAACTAATATATTGAATATGAAGGCCTCCATAACATTTGAGGTTAATGTGGGAAGTCTGGCCGAAAGGTGGCTACTTGCACATCACTGTTTGAGCTGCCCCATCGACACCTACCTCAGAGGCCCCTACTACGCCATGTGTTTATGTGGCCACAACCACTGAGAATATCTATGATGAGTGGATGGTAGTGAAATCCAAATTCAAAAAGCAAGCAAAACCATGTAACCAAGGGAAAAACCAATTGTTAGCTCGCAATTGATGGACTCTCGTTTCGTTGTGTCAGGCTTTTGGAAGTGGTGGGAATGCTATAAATTAGGGCAATAATAGTAAATTTAGAGCGATAATTAGTCATTTTTTTTATTCAATTGCGTCAAACTTATGAGAACTGCTGTCCGACAATTAAGACATCTTAGAATCAATGACTAATTAATAGTACATTTGGTCCGGTGATCCAAATGTCAATTTAATATATTTTTCACTATTTATAAAATTCATGAGATAAAACAACAAGCCACGTTATATTCGATTCGATAATAATTTGTTCAAAGTCAAACGTCCTTTTGGTCCCGTACAAACCTTTGCACACCTTATAAATATATGATGATACATTGAACTAAATTTAATGGCATGAGATCTAATTTATCCGTCAAATTAGGGATGAAAATCTAGACCAAATCGTATGGGGAACCATGGTCTAGACTTTATCATGTGGTTTGGCCTGGACCGCAAGATCAGAACTATGATCTGGTCTGGTTTGTGGTCTCTTCCTTTAGTGTGTGGTCTGAAATGGTCTAGACCGCGGTCTACCGCAGTAAACCGTAACAGACCTTGACAGTGACCCACTAACTCAGACCAAAATAACACTAAATTAAACCTCCATTTCTATATTTGAAGAACAAAGTCAGTTGATTCTTCATCCAGTTGAGAGCCAACAGATTGCCCAAATGATCGCTTATGCGATACCTCCTTATCAAAGAACCACACAAAAACCAGAAAGATTCATAAATAATATTTACTGACATCTTAGTGGTTCCAAACAACCTCGACTTCATCACGAATGTGATCGACAGCGAGAACCTTCGGATCACCCGAGAAAGGGAGAGAAGTGGTAGCACAAAGAGAAAGAGTGAAACAAGGCTATTTGATGTGTGTGTGTTTTTTAATGGATACTGGATAGAGCCGTGAAGACTGGAGAGAGAGTTTGAAAATTGAAAAAGCCCACTTCTCTCCTCATATATTTCTTCTCATTTTAATTACAATCGTTAAATTTTGGTTTCACTAACATATTGGTCACTGAATTTTTTATTTTTATAGATACTAGCGAAGGGTTGGAGGGAGGAATAAGAGTGAATTTTTTTAACATGGTCTGACTGGATCTAACTTCACCGGACCGCACCACACAGACATGGTCTGGTCTAGACCGTATAGTACATGGTCTGGTCTAGACCGTATAGTATATGGTCTGATACATGGTCTGTGTTCCAGCCTCTCGGTCTGGACTTAGGCCACCCAATTCGTGGGTTCGGTCCCACGATCCTGCTCCAAAGCGGCAAAATGTGATTTTTCGGAATTCACGGAAAATTCGCGATTTATGATATTTTGGAGCGCGATTTTTATTTAATAGAACGTGAATCCTTTAAATACTGGTTATACAGGAGGCGACAAAAGGTTGGAGAAGGTCCAACGAGTGTGTTTGGGTTATGTAAGCTTTCTCGGTTTCTCCGTCGGCGCCGATTTACCCTGTTTTTCCTACTGTTGTGTTATGTTTTGTTGTACTTGAGAACATGGGTTATCAATAACCTCAGAAATTGAGGAGATCTGCGGTGAGATGGAGGCGGCAAATGGACATGCGATGGAGGTTGGTGGCTAAAGGGAGTGTAGATGATAAATCTGCTTTTTATATCTGCCTGCAAGGTAAAAAAATTTGGAAATGGGAAATTGGATCCGTTGACAAAAGGTTAAGAAGATGAGAATTTAGAAAAGAACAATAGGCGAGGCAAGAAGATGAATCCAAGTTTTTTTGGTAGAAGGATTGAATGAGGGAGGGCATAAAGAATTAGTGCTCTCTAGAAATAAAGGATAATAACGGTTCCCCAGAAAGTAGATGTAGGTTAGGGATTGTTAGCAGGGAAGATAAAGGGCATTTGAAATTGATAATCTTTCCTTTCGTTTTATTGAGGTATGGGCTTTCCACCCTTTGGTTGTCTCTTTGGAATTTGAATGATAGCTTTACTGTGACGAAGTGGGGATCTACGTACTACTAGTAATTGTATAAGGCCAAGTCCAATGCAAAACCCCAAATTTGGAGATTGATCCCTATTTTCCCTTCTTTTGCTCTAATGCTTTAATCTCCATATTTGGGGATCTTAATTTTTCCAGTTTTTCATTTACCTAAAAATGTACTTATCAAAGCCTTAATATAATTTATTCATGTTAATTTTTGTATAGTTCGTCGTCATTTTTAAATACAAATTTTTTATAGAATTTTGGTGAAAAATTATGGACCTAATTTGGGTTTACACACAACACTTGAAAATGATTGATGTAATTAAACCCCTAACTAATCCCCTAATTAAACCCCAATTAACTCCTAAAATCTTAAAAAGAAAAAGAAAAGCCACGTGGCGGGCTTTGGTGAGTCTCTATATAGAGACTCCCCCATTTATAGAGGCTCCATTGGAGTTAGCCTTAGATAAGTATATTTGTGATCAATTCATTATAAATTTATTCTTTGTTGTATTTTTATATTTTTATCATAAAAGTAGTTTATTTTGTTTAAATATATTTAGAAAATTATATAATAATATAATATTGACGCTCTGTTCACACTCTCAATATTGAATTTTTAGAAAATTGACGCTCTTACGCTCTTGTTTTCGCTCCCGCTCTACGTTCTGAATACCTAAGTTTGGACAACAGACCGTATCTATGGCCTAGTCTGGTGCGGATCACACCATTTCCCGCCCTACTCAAATTACATGGGTATCAAAAATATTAAACTGATACAAAAAAGAAAGACAATAAAATGTCCAAAAATGTATTCGTACATACACTAAACCCGACAACAAATCATTAATTGGCGAGTTTCTTGATAAATTAGGTGAAGTGCTTGTAATTGGGCCAAATGGTTTCAGATGTGCTGACGAGCTCATTTACACAAGGGACTCCTTGGGATTAAGAATTCAGTTAATGAGAGATTTGACCCACAATCACTCAATTTTTTTTTTGCGAAAAGGGAGGCAAAAGCCGAGATCAGAGGTACAAGGAGAGAACTCGGGAAGAGAGTGAAGAGGCGTCACAACCCGACGCTCGAAGGTAATGCCCATGGCATCTTCTCTAATGAGGGAGACTAGCTCAGGGGGCGGGCTTGCAAACTCATGCATACCGTAGGGATAGACGAGACTGTGCTTCGAGAGCCAGTCCGCGACTCTATTCCCTTCCCGGTAAATATGAGATATGCTCACCAGCCAATCTTGGCTAATCTTCCTCCGGATCGCAGAAAGCAAAGTCGCATGGGGGTGAACAGGGTCTTGACGGTTGTTGATAAGCTGGATCGCTAGCTGAGAATCAGACTGAAGACGGACGGCTCGACATCCCACTTTCCAGGCTAGATCGAGGCCATGAAAGATGGCCCACAACTCGGCCAGAGCGGCGGTTGCTGTCCCAATATTCGCCGTGAAACCAGAGACCCACTTGCCAGTCGAATCGCGGATGACACCTCCCGCTCCTGCTGCTCCGGGATTTCCATTGGAAGCTCCATCAACGTTAAGAGCTGCCCAGCCATTGTTCGGAGGAGTCCATCCTATCATGGCCATCGTCCGGTCCACTGTCTGGCCTCTGAGACTGGGGAGGGGGCAGGGAGCTTGCCAAGCCTCATACCAAAGCCTGCTCTTAGCCACAATAGAGAACTCAAGGGAGGGAGGAGAAAGAGCTGAATTCAAACCTCTGAAGCAGGAGGTGCATCTGTTCTTCCAGATCAGCCAGCAGGAAGTGCTGAAGAAGGCTGCCCAACTCATGCCTGACTCCAGGCACTCACTACTCTTAAGATTATCTCGCAGCCAGCTGCTCTGATCCAGGCTGAAGAAGTGCTGCTGCAGAGTCACTGGAATATGCCGAAGCCACACATACCTAGCAATGGGGCAATCCCGGAGGATATGGAGAATGGACTCGACTTGGTCACCACACCGGACACAGCACTGACTGTTGGTCACATTCCTGGAGAAGAGAAGCGCTCTAGTGGCCAATCTCCCCAACACCGTCATCCACATGAAGCTCCTGATTCTTTCCGGCACCTGAAGGCTCCAAATGATCTTCCACAGCCTCTCATCAGGGTCTGCCGGTTGCTGGTTCAGAAGGGAGTACGCAGATTTAGCCGAGAACCTCCCATCCGATGAGGCAGACCAAAAGATGGTGTCCTCCTCCGACGCCATCTTGTCAACACCGATGCTGAGAATCTTCTGAGAAATATCGCTCGGGAGGAGGTCCATAAATAACTCTGTCCGCCAGGCGCCATTATCCTCCACAAAAGAGGCAATTGGCTCATCTTCAAGAGACTCCGGGACGGGGCCGATGGCAACGTCCCTGAGAGGAACCTGCAAAACCCAAGAATCCAACCAAAACTTAGTGTGTTTACCATTCTTAATATTCCAGGCGCAACCCTTCCGAAGAAGGTTAGAAGCTTTGGATAAGCTTCTCCAGGTAAAGGAACTTCCCTGAATTGGTCGAATGATCTCAAGATTATCCCGCTGTCTACCGTATTTTGCCACCATTATCTTGGTCCAAAGGCTATCTTTCTCCTTGAGCAGTCTCCACCCACTCTTGGCAAGCATAGCAAGATTGGCGTGCTTTAAGGATCTTAGGCCTGCCCCTCCCTGATCTTTAGGCTGAATCATCTTTTCCCAGGCCACCAAGTGCATCTTTGACTTGTCCTCTTCGTCTCCCCATATAAAGTCCCTGTTAATCCTGTCAATACTCTTACAAACCGCACTAGGGATTAGCTCTGTATTCATGCAGTAAGTGGGAATGGACGAAGAGACAGATCTAACAATAGTGAGACGGGCAGCAAAGGAGAGCCTTTTCGCTTTCCAAGGGGTCAGTTTCTTCTGAAGTCGAAGAAGTAAGCTCTGGTAGCGGCTTTGGGACACCCTCCCATGGATAGTGTGGAGTCCCAGATACTTCCCTAGCTCCGTCTTCAGAGGAATTCCTGCTCGCCTGCTAAAATGAGATGCTTTCTGGCGGTCAACATTTGGCGAAACATACAGCAGGGATTTGCTATAGTTCACTCTTTGGCCCGAGCTGAAGCAGAAGTCATCTAAGCATTGCCGGATAATCCCGATCTGTCTCGTCTCCGCTTCTGCAAACAACAAAAGATCATCTGCAAAAAAGAGGTGAGTGAGCGGAGGCCCTCCCCTCGTCAACTGAACAGGTTTCCAACTCTTGTTATTCACTGCCTCATCAATCAAATGAGAAAGACGTTCCATGCATAACACAAAAAGGTAGGGAGAGAGGGGGTCTCCCTGGCGAACTCCCCGAGTTGGGAGCAACGGTTGTGACAGCTCCCCATTCCAGAGAATTCTCATCCGATTCTGTTCCACACAGTACATGATGCAGTTAATCCACGAACTAGGCAGCCCCACTTCTTTCAGCGTGTCCCGAAGAAAATCCCATCTCAACCTATCATAAGCCTTCTCAAGATCGATCTTGAGGATGATCCCTCCCTTCTTTCCTTTCCTCTTCTCGAGAGTATGAATGGCTTCCTGCACCACGATGATATTGTCTGTAGTCTGCCTTCCCGGGATGAAACTGCTTTGCCTTGGTGAGACAAGCTTCCTCATGATCGGTTTCAACCTGCTAGTCATAGCCTTTGTAATGGCCTTCAGACTGACATTATTGAGGGATATAGGTCGAAGTTGAGAGACGAACTCCGGACTATCCACCTTCGGAATGAGCACCACTGTAGACTCCGAGACGGCTTCCGGAAGAGTGCCTGCAGAGAAGAAATTAAGAGCCAAATCTGTTAGGGCCTTACCTACCACCCGCCACAGTTGTTGATAGAAGACCGCCTGAAAGCCATCTGGTCCAGGAGCTTGGTACGGTTTCATATCAAAAATGGCCCTGTGGATATCGGTGATGGTAAAGGGTCGCAGAAGCATCATCAACTCTGTCTGCTCAATCCTGGGGAACGCGTTCTTGGGCAGTCTGTCCTCGTAGCCGGAATCATCCTGCAGGTACAGCTGAGCTAAAGAGTCAAAAACAAGGGCAGCAAGCTCCCGCGGCTCCTGGACCCAATCGCCATTGGAGTCCCGGAGTGTCAAGATTTTGTTGCGCCGTCTCCGCCTGTTGACCTGCTGATGAAAATAGGAAGTATTCCTCTCCCCGAACTTCACCCACTGCTCTCTTGATCGCTGAAACCAGAAAAGTTCTTCTTGCTCGAGCACTTTGTCGAGATCCGCCTCCAACCTAGCATGAAGTTTAGCCAAAGCCGGAGTGAAAGAGCTGGAGAGACGGACTTCAACCCCATGCAATCTGGCCAGCAGTCTTTTTTTCTTCTGTTGAATGTTGCCAAAAACATTCACACTCCACTCCCTGAGTTTCTCTGCCAAAGAGCCAAGCGCCTGAGGAAGCTGAGCTTCTTCTTCCCAAGTACCTGCAACAAAATTTTGAAAGTCACTATGGGTAAACCACGCAGCTTCGAATCTAAAAGGGCGGGGATGAGAAGGAGATGGCTCCTGGGTAGCCACAATGGTTAGGATAGGGTGGTGATCAGACTGAAGGCGGGGAAGATGAGACACAGTAGTGTTGGGGAAGGACGCATTCCACTGCAGATTGCATAGACTTCTATCCAGTCTACTAGCTTTGTGTGAATGAAATGAGTCTCCCCTTGTCCACGTGTATCTCGAACCCGAGAAACCCAAATCAATGAGCTCAGCCCTGTTGATCCTCTCATTAAACTTCTGGCATCTCCTAGCGGTCGCCGCCGAGGACGGCCCTGTCTTCTCCTCGAGGCAACGGATAGCGTTGAAATCTCCGGTGAGAATCCATGGCTCGTCGACCTTCCCACACAGATTGAAAAGGTTGTCCCAAAGATACCGTTGTAAGGACTGCCTGGGGGAGGCATAAACCGCGGTCAGCACCCAGGGGCGACCCCCATTCTGACGAACACGGATGGAGATGTGCTGATTGCAGGCTGAGAGGAGTTCCGTAGAGAACTTCCCACCATCCCAACAGATCCAAATCCCGCCCTTTCGCCCATCAGCATCCACTCTAATTGAGTTGGGAAAACCGATTCTGTCACAAACTGTATCAGCCGAGCTCCCACTGATTTGGGGCTCCAGAAGAATCACGAAATCCAGACGATGATGGTGAATGCTGAGCTTCAAAGCTCTAGCGAAAGCTTTGCTACCTGCACCACCCACATTCCAAGAGAAAATTTTAACTAGAGGTTTGCACGACATGGGAAAAAATTGTAAGAGAGGAAAGGAGAGCGAGGTAAAGAGGAATGAAAAGGCTCTGGCCGAGGCGAGCGACGAAGAGCGGGGGCGAAGGACACCAATTAAACAGCGGGAGGGGACGGCTCTCCAATTGGCTCTCCAATCCTCCGCTCCAGGTTCGCAACTTCCGCAGGGTCCTTCATCGCCGAGCTCTTCGTCGAAGAATGCGCCGCTTCCGTCCAGGCAGAAATCTCCTTCAGAGTTAGCGAGGCCATCCGGGTTCTCGGCTTTGATTTCTTCTCTTTCATCGGCGACCAGAGTTGCAGCGGACGGACCGGGTTGAGCTTGGCCGGAGACCCTTTCTTCACACGCCCCTTATTACTCTTCTTCCCCTTCGTCCTGGACGCCGTAGACGGAGTGGCTTGGTCAACCCGTCGGGGAGACGTTTCGTTAGGTGGGAGGACCTGAACCACTTGCATAACAGTTCCATTCGGGCCTGTAATCACCGACGTTGAGGGAGGGGTGAAAGGGACTTTGGGTTTGTCACCTTGGACTTGAGGCCCGGCTTTAGTTGCTCTACTAGGTCCACTGTCCGGGTTCATAGGGGCTTCAGGCGGACTGTTCGACGTGGCTGCCTTAAAAAAATCTGAAATGGGCTGAGGCCCGTTTTTAGTCATATAGCCCAAGGATGGGCCTGGACCGAGAAGCCCCTTACCTGTTGGCGTCCCCTCCTCCCTCATAATTCCTTTGCCTTTCCTTTTGTCCGTTCCATTTTGAGTATCTCCATTCCCTTTCCTTTCTTGACCCGGAGACCGTTGGGGAGGTGGCGAGCTCTGCTGCTCCAAGTTTGGAAATGGCTCCCTCGTCTCTTTACTTCTTGGTCCATTCTTTCCATTTTTGGGTGTGATCGCCTGAGTTAAGGTCCCCGAATCCCTTTGCTTTCCTTTGTTGACTGTCTCCCGCTGATTGCGCCGACCTTTCCGCGAGACGAGCATCCACGGCCCGAAACCAGCGTTGGTTTCCGTCGTCCCTTCCGGTGAGAGGTCCTGCTTCTCCCCGCCGGCGGCTCCACCAATCTCCGTGATCGGCGCTGGGCGTAGAAGAGGGCAAACAGAGGAGGCATGGCCGATCTTCCCGCATTCGAAGCAAACGACCGGTAGATTTTCATACTCGACCGGCTGCCAATCATCATCTAACCATATTCTTGGAACAAGAGGCTTAGAGATGTCTACCTCAACGGCGAGACGGGCAAACTTCGCCCTTTGTTGAGTGAGGGTGTGGTAATCTAACTTGATCGTCCGTCCGATCAGGTTTCCCAAGCTAGTGAGGACTTCCTTGTGGTAAAAATGGATTTTGAGCTCAGGCAGGTGAACCCAAACGATCATCGTCTTTGGGAGCGGATCTGACACTTTGAACCGAGGTGTCCACTGCTGAACCGCAATGTAATGATCAAAAATCATCCAGGGACCATCCGTAAGGGCTTTAAAGTAGTCTTGATCATTGTTGAGTTTCACCAAGTAGCAAGCTTCGTCTAAGTCCCTGACTTCCATTGCCCCTGTTGGTCGCCATAGAGCTTTGAGGCGAGAGCACAGAGTATGAAAGCCGATTTTGATACCGAGCAGACGAACCACCAGTGTGCGGTGCCAAGGAGCGCATAATCTGTTCTTGAACTCCGACGAGATACTCAAAGCCGGTTCGCCATTACGTACACCGGGAATCAAATCATGTTCGCCGACTGGAGTCCATTGGATCGCCAAGGATTGTGACGTGGGGACGTTTTGCCCTCCTGTGAGCACACTGGCGTAGGAGAAGGGATGTGTCTGCGCCGTCGAGGCATGAGGAATCGTTGAAGTTGTGAGAGTCAATTGATTACCGGCGTTGGCGTTCGTTCCTGGTACAACTGAGGTCGCCCCCGGAACGGCGTCGCCGGCGGATGAATCTACCATCATCGCTGTCATAGGGGAGGGCTCTTTTCTTACTGTGGGCACAACCATATCAGGCGCTGCAATTTGAGTCTGACCCGTGTCCGGCGGACGGCCGGTTGTTGAAAAAGCCGGTGCCGGAGGAAGATCCACAATCACTCAATTAAAATACCTAGTATTTTAAATCAAGGTTTTGTGTTAAATATTTTGTTTTATTTAGGAATGAGAATTTATTAATTAGGGAATTAATTCTGAAAGCAATTACAGAAATTACAGTTATATCCTTCACCAAATTCAACTGCAACTTACCGTCGAATTCAGCTAACCTTTACAGGATTCTTCCCTCCGTCGTTGCCTCCTCCGATCTCCCCAACACCAATCCCACTGAGGGTCGCCAACATCTGATTCTTCCCCAATCACGCGACGTAGATTGCGACCTCGGCAAAGATGTCGAGGATCTCGTCCAAAGCTCAACTCTATGAGGTAATCCCCGTCACCGTTACTGTTGTTATATTTTTCATCGTCTAATGTGAACCCTGCCACAGCGGGTATCACAACCAAAGACTTTGCGTTGTCCTCTGATCCTGATTGCTGCAAAGTAGAGATTGTAATTTCAATGAACTCCGTGGCAGAAACCAATCGGTGGAGAGTGACGGTCGCAACGCAATTGACGATAGTAGTCTAGGGGTGAGAGGAGACAAATCCCACACAACACAAGACAACCCAAAACCCAGATTTGGAATTACATATCAGGATCGAGCTCGTGCCAGTGGACAGGAGGGGAAGGGAGACCGAGATCGACGCAGATTGGGAAGGATGAATGAAACTAAAGTCGGAGATGTTTGGAGTTCTTTCGCCGAGCCACAGAGAAGATCCCAACTCGATCGTCGGAGAAGTTGGGTCTGTGCGCCAATCGAGCTACGGTCTCGACGAATGGACCTTCGATTCCCCATCCCCCGGAACAACCGTCATGTTGAAGAGAGGCAATGGGGCGAAGATGGAAATGTCGCCGAAAGGAAGGGGTGCGGCGAAGAATGATTTGAGTTTCTGGACTGATTTTGGTCGAAGAAGAATAGGGATATGGAGTAGGGTTGGTGGTAGGGGCACTATTATGTCGTATAGAGCCTACCTAGTAATAGCGTTTTGGGACCAGATTTTAAAATACTTGCATGTTGGCAGATATTTCTAATTTCTTAATGAGCCTAGCATACCGTTTGGTATAAATGAATTCCATAAGTTTTGAGGAATTCATTCTGAAATGAAACAATTTTGTATTTGGTATTTTAAAGAATTAATTTCCAATTCTAAATTTTAAATTCTATGAAATTGGAACCAGTTATAGCAATTTCGAGGAAGACGAAATTTCTAAATGAATTCCACAAGTATTTACTAATTATAATAAAATGACATAATTATCCTCTTTTATTAACTAAATCACTTATACATGTACATACCAAACACAGGAATTCACTTGACAATGAATTCTACATGACAATTCATTTTATTTGAATATGACGTACCAAGCACAAAATTTCATTTGACAATTAACTCTAAATAGTAATTCATTTTTACAATGAAATGAATTTTCGATTCATTAGATACCAAACGGTCTGTAATTTATAATTCCCAATGTCCAAATCCTGCATTTTTTGTAGACTTATCAAAACAAAGAAATGAGTTAAAATCTGGGAGGGGCCCAGGTTTGGGCCAAATCCCTCACCAAATTTGTGAATCCAAACGACCCCAAGAAAGAATTTGATAACAAGCCCAACAGGGAGAAGGCTCTGTTTCTACTTCTAGTTAGGGATGGCAATGGGGCGGGTTTGCTTAAACCATCCCCATACCCATCTTCAAATACCCAAACCCATACCCGCCCCATACCAATGCGGGGGAATGTTTTGCAAACCCATCCCCATATCTGTGGATTTCGGGTACCCATGGGTAATACCCATACCCGTACATCCAAGATTAATATACCTAAAACTTACAAGAAAAGTTCTAATTATAATTCTAAACGAACATATTATATCATGAAGTCAATAAAACACGGTCATTTTTTTAATATGGTTCAAAGATTATGATCCTAAAATATCCATTAATACATAATATAGAGTATAATATTTTTCAAATTATTATGTTCTAACTCTGATACATCTACTAAATAATAATTAACTAACATAATCTTGTTGACAAGGGGGAAAGTGAAAGAGTGAAATGAGAATTGAGAGAAATGAATTAGATTTTGATTAAGGTGGTCAATCAATTGCATTTCTACTATTTATTTTCTCAAGTTATCCTCATCGTCATTGATAGATTATAATTTGATACACATATTTTTTTTATATATGAAGAAATTATCTTAGTGGGGCGGGGGCAGCGGCGGATCCAGAACAGAGAAGAGCACTGGGCCGCATTTCATTAGAAAATTAGAACCGTAAAAAATATAATGATTATAGTTTTTTGCAATGTAAATTGTACACAACCGTATTTTAATTTAGGGAATGCATCAATAATGAAGTCTACATCCATACCAATAGTATACACTGTTTCAAATAAAATACTTGAGCAATCGGCGAGAAATTCATCGCTCATTTTGTTGAGCAAATCAGTTCTCACATGTTTCATTGTTAAAAAGGTTCTCTTCGTAGTAGCTGTTGAAACGAGCAGCATCAACACTAGATAAATCAATCGACTAATCAATTTACATTGTGTGTCCATCCCTGCATACCAACTGCTTTAGTAAATTTGCAAGGGAACAAACCTCATATTTCTTTCAGTCTTTTACGTTTTTTACTTTTTAGAATTTTAGGTTTCATTGTTTTTTTAAGACGCATAATCTTTGGGGCTAAAATTTCTAGGTTAAATTTAGAATAGTGATTTGAATATGTTCAACTTGATAATTTTTCTAGTTAAACCCAATCTTATCATAGAATAACACTAAATTGAATGTCTAAAATCAAAAATTTCATAAGAACTATAGTAACTACGGATCCAGAGAGGGCTGGGCCGGGGCCTGGGGTGGCCACCCCCTGGATCCGCCAGTGGGCGGGGGAGGCTAAAACCATACCCGTCCCATACCATCAAACTTTTTGCGGGTTTTAACCATACCCGGTCAAAGCGGGAATTCCTCGTGTTGACTGGGTCGGGAGCGATCGGATTCCCGCGGCCATGGATTTGATTGCCATCCCTACTTCTAGTCTAGGATTTTGGGTAATGCTGTCCGCGTCCCACCTGAAAAGTACGCAACTATTCTCCTCGTCTGTTTTTTTTTTCTATTTCTATTTCTAACTTCGACGCGCGCGCATTCCCTCACAAGTCACAAGTCACAACACCGGGAAGTGGAACCCAGCCAACCAAAGGATTGCAGAAGATGGGTTCTGTGCAGTTTTCTCGGAGCTCCATTTTGATTCTCTGGGTTATCTTTATCGCCTTCCCCTGCTTCGTATCCGCTACTACAGTGTCTCTAGGTACAATCCGTCTTTCTTTTTCCCGTTGCAATTACTTTCTCTGCGTTGTTGTCCAATCACTTTGGGAACTTGGAATCCTAGGGTTTTGGAAAGTTGTAACATGGCTGCTCTTCAAACCCCGCTCCTCCTCCAATTTCATGTTTGCTCTCCTAGAAATTTCATGACACTGAACTGAGAAGTGAATGTGGAGTATTTTTGGAGCTGTTGGAACCCTTCACTCGTCCTGATCCTGGTTCTTGATCTGATTCCGTTTTATTTTTCTTGTTTTGGGATTTTGTAGTTGTTGGGGAGAGGTCTAGACTCGAGGTTTCTCCTAGCTTGCCTGTGGTGAACTCCCCAGGGACTAAGCCTGGCACTAGGTTGCTCTGTGAAAGAGTTCATGTCCATGGGCTATCCAGGCTGAAGAACTTAAAGAAGTTTTCCCACTCATTAAAGGTGAACCTAACGCATTCTAGTTCAACTCTCCGTGGGCCGAGTGTTGAAGTCTGTTTCCACAGGTAATTTGTGCTGTAACTTGTACCGGGTTTTGAATTATAATACTGCCTTGCTATTCTGATGGAACATGCCCAGCTTTCCTTTTTTTAAGATTTCAATACAGCAATATTCCTTAGCGCAGATCTGTGGTTCCAGTTAAAGGTTAACGAGGCCGTGTTTTCTTTGCAGAAATGCATCTCGTGGGATTGGGATGTGCCCTCAAGGAAGGTGGGAAAAGGTTGTGAAGGGTTCCTGGGGTCGTGCAATGTCACCTTTTGATCATAAGCTCTTGGATATAAGGATGGCTGGTTCATCTCCTGAAAGCGTCGAAGTTCATATTGAAGAAGGTTTCATTTCTTTCCCGTTTGGGGTTATCTACATTCCATGGGTTATCGTTGTGTTGTTATAATGTGTAAATGCCTATATGGTGTTTGGGTATGTTACTAATTTTCTCTTGGTTATGCTGCAGAATTTTTCATGTACCGGATAGTGTTTCTAGTTGTTGGGGTCGTTCTGTTGAGTGTGGCATCCCCTCTGAGCATGTCATTGGCTTTTTACTACAGCAGTGCGATGGCAGTTGGCATCATCCTTGTGATATTGGTGGTACTTTTTCAGGTAATACATCTTTTGTCCTTCAGAATCGAAAATGTAGGAAGATTATTCTAGTGACTGTTGCTAGTGTGATGGGCGGCGAGATACTCCATATCAGTAATTGGAATAACCAACATTTGTGTTGCTGTTGTTTAAAGTTACTGTTCGTAAGTATATGTATTTTTGCTTTCCTCATGGTTTTCTTATTGGTCAAACTGTATGCTAAACCACAGAAGAGGGGGCTTGAAAAGCTCTTTTTGTACTAGAGTAACCTTCATGTTCATACATGCGCGCATCTCGAAGGTTTATTGTACACTTCCTCTTGTTGGTTGCATGTTCTTACCATTGTTTAATCACCTTTAGCATTAGATGATTATTTGATTGTTCTTTGTTAGGGGATGAAACTGCTGCCAACTGGGCGGAGAAACTCACTTGCAATCGTCATATACTCATCTTTGGTAAGTGTTGAGCCTTCTCTTTAAATATCTTTTGATCCTTTATGTTTAACAATGAGAACTGCAGTTGACATACTGTTATGTATTATGCAGGTTGGTTTGGGTTCTTTTCTCCTGCAATACTTGCCAGGCTTACTGCACACCCTCCTCCTGGAGATGGGAATCAGTGAAGACATGTATTTTCCTGTATGTAAGTTAGACATACTGTATTACAATTCATAGTTTCTTGGCGAAGAAACATCGTATATAATGCTGAGGGTTTTGGTCAAACACAAGAATTAGTGGTGTTCATTAACTATTCTTGTTGGTATTACATGAGAACACTCACATAGTTTTAGTAGCCGACCAACCAACCAACCTTATGGCATGTCCTACTTTCATGTATAGATTGATGAAGTGTCTTCATATTTCTTCTTACTAATCTCTTAGATAACAGATGATCTAGATGCTAAGGCTGGATAAATAATTCTTATAAACTAAACTGGATTCCCTTTTAATGAACCACAGCTGGCAATTTTTATGGTGGCTTTTATTGTTCTTGCTGGAGCTTGGATGGGATTCTGGGCTGTCCGCAAACTTGTCTTGGCAGAAGATGGATCAGTTGACACAAGCACTTCCCATTTTGTCGCCTGGTCTATTAGGATTATAGCCGCTATTATGATTCTTCAGGTACGTCTATTTCCCATCACAACTTATTTCATATACAAAAAGTCTAAAACTGTTGATTGGTGTTGGTTTATTGCCAATGAAAAATGCTTCCAATTTGTTAATGACACTTCATTACACATGTTGCTCCAGAGCTCATTGGATCCCCTGCTGGCAACAGGAGCATTATTATCAGGGATAATTGCTTCGTCTGTATTAAGGCGAACTTTTCAACTCAAATTTTGGAGGCGGCTTTACAAGTAAGTTTCTCTAGTCTGAAACTGTTTTTTCTCTTCGTCCTGGTGAATGTGCTCCCAGTGAGTTACAATGGAACTAAGCTGATTTGTGCATGGTATGTATGCTTAAGAGGCCAACTTAGCTCCATTAGCTGTCTTACAGTTGATCACCTAATTCGGTCGTTTTGACTTATACCTTATTTCACTCTGAATTGCCAATATGCAGGAGGTTGTTCAAGATGGTTAACAGTATGAGCTTGGAGTCTGCGGTTCCTGATATATCTCCATTTCGAAATTCACAAGACAATTATACATACAAGAAGACGTCTGAAGATTGTACGCCTCTTTGGCCTTGGACAAAAAGGTTTCGTCGGGGATCTCCCAGTAGTGCTCCAATTCAAGGTTTTGGTTAGTTAATACCTTCTCTCTTTTGCATGTTAATACCTAAAAATGAGCAAAGCAGGATAACAATATTTGCCATTGTCGCTTATTTCAGGTTATAAAACTACCCCACAAGAACATCAACTATCGGATTCAGACGTGTTCCTTTCTACCTACTGCACTCCGGAGGGGAAAAAATTCTCAAAGGAAGAGTGGAAAAAGTTCACAGAGGAGTCGACGCAGAAGGCCGTGAAAGACCTCGTGGCTTCTCCTGATTTCAGCAGATGGGTTGCTTCTAATGCGGACCGAATCTCTGTAACTCCGAAGACCCGACGGGATGAATCCCTGCCCCGGCGCAAGTGGCTCTACTTCTTCTGATTTGTAAACATGTATACCCCCGTCTTTCTTTGCATGGCGGGCACGGGCTTATACCATGTGAAATTACTGAGGGATTTTGTTGGACGGTGAACTCGCCAACTCTTATCGACTCCTGTAGATTTTAACCCAGCAGCAGCAGCAGCAGTATGCAGGTAGGTGGTGTAGTGAATGCAGTTTTAGTTGTAGGCTTCCCTTCAAGATGTTGTATTTGTTTGTAGGTCGTATCTGACGTGTTAAGTCGTAGAATAGTTTTTGTCCAAATCGGATTGTAGCTTGAACGAGGGTGAAGAATGAATTCAAGCATCATAGTTACTGATGCAGGACGCAGATTTTTTTTTTTTTTTTTTGTTTACAGTGTGTTGCCTGTTGCTGTCTTAATAATAATAATAATAATAATTTGTATCATTAAATTAAGCATAAGCTAGAATAATAAATAAATTAGATTAGGAAAGGAAAAGCAGAAGAAACCAGATTAATGGTTGGAAGAGAACAAGAATAATAAGTGACTGCTTTATTGTACTTGAGCAATAGAGAAGGAAATGTCGAGTCAAAAGAAAAAGTAGATGACGTTAGAAAGAAACAGGGAAAAAGAATTTTTTTTTATTACACTAGTGATTGTGATTTGTGGGATGCGTTATGCGTATCAATCTATGACACGGGATTACTTAATAGTAATAATAATGAAGTGCGGAATACGCGTAGAAAGAACCGAACACATGAAATGCAGATAAGAAATCGCTTCGAGGGTAAGGAATTGCAGTGCAGAATGCATCAACGGAGGGGAGCTGGCCACTGTTTAGCAGCCGTTATTATAATTATTAATTATAAACCGAGCAGTGACAGAGAGTCAGAGACACTATCTACCTGTTGCCTCTGTCTACATGTCGTGAGCTATCTGTCAACCGCTTTATTATTATTATTTTTTTTTTTTGACAAAAGGACATCGCATTTTCATTTCGGAGCAAAAGCCGTGAATTACAACAGGGGATACAACATCAAGGATCTGCATCCAGTCAGAAGGAAAGGTGTTCATAGCACAGGACCTAGCTACCCAATCCGCCATCGAGTTGTTCTTTCGGCCAACGTGCTTGATCCTATTCTGCGAGTTTGAACACAGAGCTTGTCTGATGCTACCAATCCAGGCTGTTGCTCGCCAAGGCCACGTCGTCGGATGATTGTTAACCGCTTTAACCAGAGTTAAGCAGTCTGACAGAATGAGACATGGGGACAAACAGGATGCAGCCAGACGCGATCCTTCCAGAAGAGCTTTGGCTTCAGCTTCAAGAGAGGAAAAACAATGCAAAGTCTCAGCTTTACCGTCACAAACTTGGCCATGGCTGTTCGATACAACGACGCCATATGCCGCCTTCTGGGAGTCGCTAAACAACGACCCATCGCAGTGTATCTCAAATTCATGAGTACTTGGCGGTGGTGAAGAGAGATTCGGTGGTGGGTTGGGCTGAGGTGGATGGAGGGTGCCACTGGCCTTCCTTGGACAGGAGCTCCACTGATGGAATGTCGTGGATGCCTTGGTGACTGTCGCGGGTGGCCAAATACAGGAGTTCTTGAAGATGCAATCGTTTATTGCTTTCCATGTCTGCCAGAGCAGGAAGACGATTTTCTGAATGGAGCACACCGAGTACCTGGCAGTCAGCGCATGAAGCCATTCCAGGAATGGCACATTTGGATTTGGGGGAGGGAGGGAAGGCCATTCTTGTTCCCATCCTTCAACTGCATGAGGGCAGGAGAACAGACAGTGGTGGATCGATTCCACAGGGAAATCACACAATGGGCACACCATGTTGGGGGAGCACTTCCTGTTGAAGAGATCTTCTTTGGAGGCAAGAGCATTCTTTGAAATCCTCCACACAAAAAATTTCAGCTTTGGGGGGATGGAGAGGCTCCACAACCATTTCCATCTCTTCATACTAGCTTCGGATGTCGTAATCTCATGTCCTTGCGAGCCTCTGATAAGGTTATGAAACTGAAAGAATGCGGATTTGACAGAGAAGGTGCCATGATCCGTGAATCTCCAAGCCCAGAAATCCTCCAGAGATTCCGGGCCAATAGGGGTGGCAGCGACCTGACGAACATCATGTGGGCTAAGGAACCGATCGAGCAAGTCAAATCTCCATTCTCAGGTGATTCCATCAATCCAGCCATCAACAGTAGACTGGTCAGGCCACTCAAAATCAAGCACAGTCCCCATCCTGTCTCTTCTCCAATTGTCTTGAAAGAATCTGGTTGATTTTCCATTTCTGATAACCCTGATGACACTGCGTTCCATCCATTTTTTGGCTTCGCACAAGCTAGCCCAAATCCAAGATGCCTTCCCACCTTTCTTAGCTTTGAGGAAGTCGGTATTTGGGAAGTAGATACTTTTGAGGACCTTGACCCAAAGGGCATCTGGATTGGTGAGGATTCTCCACGTCTGTTTTGCAAGCAGGGCCAGGTTAAAGGTGTGGAAAGGCCTAAAACCAAGACCCCCTTCACTTTTCGGGGCATACAGGACGTGACCTGCCCTCCAATGAATCGTCCTCTTCAACAAAGAGCCACCCCAGAAAAAAAAATTTAGCATAGCATCCATTCTCTTCGTGATCGCTTTAGGCAGAAGAAAGAGGCACATGATAAACGAGGGAACCGCTTGAAAAACGGCTTTCAGCAGGGTTTCTTTACCCCCTGGTGACAGCAGGAGACTTTTCCATGCTTCCCCTTTTTTCTCCATCCTTTGCACAAGGAAATTAAACGTTTCCTTTTTTGACCTACCCCATACCGTGGGAACTCCAAGATAGTTGGAGTGACAATTCGGTGCAAAGCCAGAAGCGAGAATGATGCTGTCTTGTTCATCTCTGGGCACATTGAGACTAAAGAAAATCGAAGACTTGTCCTTGTTTACATCCTGTCCCGTGACCGACCCATAGTCATTAATGATTTCCAAGATTTTCCTGGCTTCATCAGAAGAAGCTTCCCCAAAGATGACTGTGTCATCTGCAAACAGACAATGCGAGAGAGTTGGGCAGAATCTGTTCAGCTTGATCCCTTTTATATTTTCCTAAAAAACAGCTTTCTCGAGCAGGAAAGAGAGAGCATTCGACATTAGAAAGAAGAGAAGGGGGACATGGGGTCCCCTTGTCGAATGCCTCTTGAGGGAGTGAATTCATCTGATGGTTCGCCATTGATGAGGAGCTTGAAGGAAACTGTTGAGATGCAAGCTTTTATCCACTTACACCAGGTGCTGCTGAATCCATAAGCCTGAAGAAGGTTGAGCAAGAGGTCCCATTCAACCAAGTCGTAAGTCTTTCTCATGTCGAGCTTAAGCATCATTTCTTTTTTCTTCCTCGTTTTGTTCTTCTTGAAGTGATTGAGAACCTCATGAACTATTATGACATTGTCTTGGATTTGTCGACCCCCCGTGAAGGCCGATTGAAGTTCATTAACCAGCTCATGGAGCCATGGATGGAATCTGTTGGACAAAATCTTTGTGATTACCTTGTACCTGAAGTTACAGCAGTTGATGGGTCTGAACTGACCAATAAACTCAGGAGCATCAATCTTGGGAATAATTGAAATGAAAGTGTCGTTCCAGCCTGTTGGCATGTTCCCAGACTCGAAAAAAATGGATATCTCCTTGAAAAGACCATCACTGAGGGTATTCCAAAATTTCCTAAAGAAAAGACCTGGGAAGCCATCCGGACCAGGGGCTTTGTTTGCCCCAAGTTGGAACACAGCCCTACGAACTTCCTCCTTCATCACCGGTGCACAGAGACCGGTATTCATTGTCTCCGAGACCAGCTTAGGGAAGCCTTCCAGGATTCCCGGATTGGGATGCACCTCCTTGCTTTTGAAAAGATCCTGGTAGAACCTGTTAATGTGATCCTCCAACATGATCGGTTCAGTTATCCAGTTGCCAACCGAATCCTTGAGTTTCAGGATTATGTTCCGAAGTTTCCTTTTAATTGTACTTGCATGGAAGAAGCCAGAGTTCTGATCCCCTTCCTGTAACCAGGAGATCCTGGATCTCTACGCCCAGAATTCTTCTTTAGACAGCCACATGGATTCCAGTTCTCGTTGTAAGGCCTCTTCTTCGCTTATGACCGACTGGTCACGCGTCATACCTTGTAGGACTTGTAATCTATTCCTGATCTCTTTTTCTCTCTTCTGTTTCATTCTTCTATCAATCATCACCCACTGTTTCAGCCCTTGTTGGCAGTCCTTCAGGATGTCATTAATCATTCCCCCTTCTTCCCATCTACTGATAATAATGTGGCAACATTCTTCACTATCCTGCCATCTTTTATCAAATCTGAATGGTATTTGGACGGATCATCCTCTGGGATGTAGATCAATTCGGATCGGGCAGTGATCCGATTCCACAAAATCCTCGTGGAACACTGTTGCCGATTCAAAAGCAACCCTCCAGGAAGTGGAGCAGAGGGCTCGGTCCAATCTTTCCCTGATAAGCTCATCCCCTTGCTGTTTGTTACTCCAAGTAAAGGTTTGACCGGTGAATCCAAGGTCAATCAGTGCATTGGACTCGATGAAGTACTTAAAAGGACACACATTTTCATTCCTAATAGGGCACCTGCCCTGTTTTTCAAAAGGGAAGGCAGCAACATTCAAATCCCCTACCACCAGCCACTGCTCATCCCGACTCTCCCTGAGGGTCGTAAGTCGATCCCACAAGGCACTCCTTTCTACCGCCGTGGTAGGAGCATGTACAAAGGTACAAAAGAACTTGACATCATTCTTGGTGATATTGGTGTCCATAAAGGACTTACAGGACTCTAACACACTAACAACCACATCTTCTTTCCACCACAATGCTAACCCACTTCCTTCTATAGCTGGGTTGACATAATCAGCATGATCAAACTTCATTGCTCTTCTCTTTCCCTCCATGAAGATCTCATCTTTCCTGGTTTCCATCAAAAAGAGCACTGAAGGGCAGAATTGACGACAAAGCCTGCCGCAGTAGCTCCTTGTAAGGGGTTGGCCAAACCCCCTACAGTTCCAACTCAGGAACCTCATTCTTGGAGAGGCGGCTTGAGGCCTGCTGTCGTCGCCCTCGGAGTGGTGGATTCGCCTTCTCCGGATTGGCATCCTTCTGCTGTGATTTCCGCCAGACTCTTCCTCCTGGTAACATGCTTTCTCCTTTGATAAATCTTCCTATTTTCACATTGAACAAAGGACATGGAATCGAAAGAGAGGTTAGTGATTGGTTCAATCGGCTGTGGTGGGCTGGAGTAGCTTGTCCGATGCTCTGGCTTTCTTTTCTTTTCGGGCCTGCTTGGCTCCTCCTCACTTGGAATGACGATGGGCTCGATAGTCACCGTCTGGGCCTGCGGACAGGTGAGCCCAATGCCTTGAGTATTGGCCCCAGCCTGGGAAAGGGCCACGTCAGAAGCAAAGGAAGGGCTTCCGAGGGTAACGGACTGGCCCATTTCAAACAGGCCCACTAGCTTCTCTTGGCTTCTTTCTTCACCTCCCAGATCGAGGCTTCTCTGCATAGCCCTTGCCGTTGCCTCCATCTCGATCTCCAGAAAGGCTGACTGCAGTGAATTTGTCGGGTTTCCTTTTTCTCCTCTGAACACCCAGTCTGTGCCACTCCCTGCTCCTGGCAGAATGGCATATCCTTGGGGGTAAGGGAACGGTCCTTGCAACGGGTGGCCAGCCAGAGTGATCTGAGAAGATTCGCCTCGGGGGCTGCGGATTTGCTTGTTGGCAGGGCTCTGTCTTGTTAGGCGGCGTGAGTTTGCCAGCTTTTATCTGAAGGAGGCCGGTGGGGTGTTCGCCGGTGAGTCGTGCCCGGCCCTGAGCGCATCTATGTACACCTCCGACGGATCGGTGCACAGTCCTTTCCTTTGTATTCTCTTCCCTTTCGCTACAGTTATGGATGAGATGACCTAGCCTTCCACAGAAGTAGCATAGATCCATTATCCTTTCGTATTTGAAGCTCACCCACGTTGATCTCTCTCCGATTGGGTACTCGAAGCCGATTGGAATAGGTTCATCGATATTGACCTCCACCTTTGACCTAATGAACTTCAGCCAGCCTCTGAAGTCGAAGTTGGATTGATCGATGTAGTCGAACTGAGGGAAGATGAATGCCGCCACCGCCTTCACTGCTTCCTCATCCTTGAGCGATTGTGGTACCCACAGTGTCACTGTCTGGATATCTGAGGGGTCTGCTTTCTGCTCGTCGTCCCACTTCTTCAGTGCGACAAGAGTATTGCTCAGATTCCACGGTCTAGCATCCCACACAACATCCCTTTGTTTTGCCGATTGAAAGGAGTAGACAAACATATTTTCTCCTTCTTTTGTTGCTTGAACTTCACCATATGCCCTCCACTTGCTTACCACCGCATTCTTTGCCTTCGAAAGGTTGATGGAAGAGTTAGTAGGTTGACTTCAGAGGGGGCGTTGTTGAGGTAGATCGTGTTGGATATCTCGGGAGAAGGTTCCTCTTATAGGCGACTGGTATAATGGGTGGTTGAGAGATTGTATCCTTTGATAGCATTGAATTCCTTGCCCGGACCCCTTCTCCGATGCACCCTTCTTCCAGAATACCTTGTAAATGCCATTTAAGGCAAAACCTAGCAGCCGAGCTAAGTCTCCTCCTCTCAATCTTTCTACCTTCCTGGGCGTTCCTACTAGATCTCTGACACCAGATTTGGTCAACGCATTTACTATCATCATGATCTGTCTCTGCTTCTTCGTGTCTCAGGGATTGGTTGGGTTGGCTGCTAATGATTGCCGTGGGGAGGTTACTTGTCTCTGTCTCAGGTGCTGCTTGGCAGTTAATTCCCTTTGTCTCACCGGGGCCTTTCTCTGTGACACTGGGTGAGTCATAAATGCTTGCTTCTTCAGATTTCCAACATTTACTCACTGAACCTTCTTCCGCAGTAGCGTATTTACTTCTCTCTGTTTTTTGATGGACGGCTTCTCAGGTGGTTTGGGCGGCGGATTGGTGGCTCTCCTCAGCTTCCCTACTGGGCTATCTCTTCCCCCATTGGATCTGGTCTGAGAGTGGGGAGACCCCTCTTGAATGCGGTGTATCTTCCCTTTCACTACCTTGCGATTCTCTGTTGATTTCTTAAATGCGTTGCAGGAGGACTGAGATTTGATATTGAAGGCTCCATAGATGGCAACTGGAACGTTTCTTGCATAATGGGGGTTAGGGTTGTGGATTCTTGAAAAGGGGGGGGGGGGGGGGGGAGAGGGGAGGGAGGAAAGGGGAAAAGATGAGAGCATTATCGACGTTGGTTTACCCTCTGTACTTAGTTGTGACAAAATCAGAGGAGTTGATCTCTTTCTTTCTTCCTTCAGCAGCTGTCAACCGCTTTATATCGTTGTTCCGACACAGCAAGCGGAATGATTCTATCCCTAAAAAAATGGAATGATTCGATAAGTGGAACAATTAATTTGTATTGTTTCATGCGGGTTTAACAAAATATGTAAAAATGTGAAAAATTATTAATATAATTTAATTATATATAGAATAAGACATTTCAATTAGAATAATAAAATATTCATATTTAATATATAATATTTAACGTCAATACCTACATATTTATACTTGAATCTAACAAATAACATCAACATTTAACTTATAAATTTATAAATAAATAATAAATTAAATTCCCTAAAACGACATCATTTTGTTTAGAGTCGTAAATCGATCATGTCGGTCATGTCGGTGGTGTTCACACCGGTATCATGTCCCACATCGGTTAAACCAAGTTCAACTGCCCGGCATTTCACTGGCGTGACAACAAGGTTGTCAATCCGGGTTAAACCATTGAGCCAGTCAAGCAAGAAGTTTGAGGTTTAATGATCTGATCGGCGTCCAACCAGTTTAAGCCGGTTTAGACGTTTTCTAAATGTATATATATATAAATAAGGTAGCAATTAAAGATTTAATAACTGAAATGAAATTATTTTACATGTATCTATTAAAAACTTATTTTCCACAAAATAAATCTACCTAACCTCAATGACCCATCCACCATCTCCCTTCCTCTCTTGCCCCTCTCTTCTTCTCCCTCTTTAGGGGTCAGACCGGGGGACTTCCTCAAAGCCGTTTTGAAGCCCAATTTAGATCAGACCGGGTCCAACCGGGGGTCCGATAGGGGTTTAACAACCTTGTGTGACAACCATATTCTGTCCTAAAGGAGAAGGGATAAAAGAAAGGAAAATTGAAATAATAGAATTTCGCCGATATCACAGCAGACCAAGATTGTCAAACCGGTTCATAACGTTATGCCGATTTTGTAAGTGATATGGTACAACTGGTGGTACAACCGATTTATAGGGCTGGGAAAATAGACCAGACCGTTAGAAAAACCGTGGTCCAAACCGTACCGCACAGTTTGGTCTGGACCGTAGACCGTTACGTATGGTCTGGTCTGGTCCATGGTCTGTATTATTTTATGTTTTGATCTCTTGGTCTGGTCTAGACCGCGGTTTACCTACCAAATCGTGGACCCAACTAACTTGTCAATACGTGTTAATAGCCCATTCAATCACTCTCCCAACCCGCACAACGACACCCAAGTCTCAACCTTAATTTTGAGAATCCTGTCCCTCCTTCATCCACAACCACATTTAACCAGAGAGTAGAGATAACTGTGTCTCTGTATGACATTATGTTAATGTTTATAACGTTATGGTGCAAGTTGGGATGCTTTTACTTTGTATTTTTGTTATGTACTAAAATTTAGGGTATCAAAATTATTCATGCATGTTAAGATTAATGTTTTAAGGCAAATAACAATTATTTTACTTGGTTATTAGTTCAATTTTTTTGTGTGGTTGACTAAACAAATTATTCATTTTTCTTTGAGTGTGTTCTATCTGGACCAGACCAGACCGAACCAGACCGCACAGGCGTGGTCTGGACCGGACCGTATAGTCTGTTGTCTGGTCTGTGGTCTATACTTCAGCCTCTCGATCTGGACCATAGACCGTATATATGGTCTGGTCTGGACCAGACCGTACCGTTTCTCAGCCCTACCGATTTATGCCTATTCACCTTTATTCAGCAAATTATGTAAGAAATTGAGAAATCATGAACACTAAATAACTTAGGTATACATATTTGAACATATCTCTAAAATCCATATCCATATTTTATGAAGAAAATATAACCATCCAAATAAAATGACATTGGTTGAACCCGATTCTGCCGGCGGACATACGAGAGGGAAACGGAAGGTAGCAGGAGAGCGAATGACAGACGCACGCACTCATACAACTGCCGCATGTTCTGTAAAGTAAAGTCTTCCTTTTCTGCCTATCTTGTTGTTACTTGTTTGTGCTTCAAAATTAAATTGAAGAATTAGAATTCGGCCGATATAACAGCACACCCACCTTCCTGGTTCCTTCCCCTTCTCTTCAACACCGCCTTTATCTCACGCGCTTTCCTTCTCTATAAATTAGACTTCAACGGCAATCAAAATATCTTCAGTTACCGGCCATTCTATATATTTTTTTTCTTCTGCATAGCCAAAGCTGTGAGATCTAAAATAAGAACAGGAAGAAGATGAGTTACTACAATCAGCAGCAGCAGCCACCCGTCGGCGTTCCTCCCCCACAAGGTAGTTTCCTTTTGCAATTACAGGGATGGATTTTCCTCTTGTGCTGGGGTTTTAGTGAAATGGGTTCTTGTCCTCTTGATCGATTATGCAAATTCTGAATTTTTCTTCTTCTTTCTTGTTTACTTTAGGTTACCCGAAAGATGCTTATCCACCACCGGGATACCCTGTTCAGGGATATCCTCCCCAGTCGTACCCACCTCAAGGTTATCCTCCCCAGCAACAATACGCCCAGCAGCAATACGCCCAGCAACCACCCAGGCAACAAAAAGAAGTTGGCTTCCTTGAAGGATGGTCAGTTTCCCCTCCCCTCTTTTCCTTTCTCCCCAACTGATCTAATTTCACAAACTCAAATCTTGGGGTTGGATTGGATGATCCTTACCTTGGTCTGCTTTTCAATTTGTGGATAGTGAACTGGTTAATACCCATGATTGTTTGGATATATAGCTTTAGACACGATCTAATTTCACAAACCCAAATCTTGGGTTTGGATAGGATGATCCCTACCTTGCTCTGCTTTTCAATTCGTGGACGGCGAACTGGTTAACGCCCATGATTGTTTGGATATATAGCTTAGGCACGATCTAATTGATTAGATCTACTCACCCATTTGGCCATTTAAGCTAATAATCGAGATCGGCATATATTCCGAATCCAAGATTGTATGTTACGGTACATTTGATGTTGTTCCTGAGTTGCTGTGCTGATGGTGTTTTCTTTTGATTTGCAGCTTAGCAGCTTTGTGCTGTTGTTGCTTGTTGGATGCTGTCTTCTGAGTTCCGAGGAAGGAGGATGTTCATGTATTCTTGCGTTACAATGAGCATGTGGAGATTGAAGACTGAATATCTTTTTATGTTATTATGGGTTGTAACTGTGGAGAGTTGAGAGATTTTAACATTCCGTGTATTATATAATAAGGAAACTTGTTTCTTTGTTGGTTTTCCTAGGGCACTTTTTTTATCTTGCATATAAAACTCACAATTCTGAATTCTATATGAGCAAAACTACCTAAACAATGACAGAGTTCTAGTGCAGTTTGGTTCACATTTTATTTTTTGGGTGCTGCTTCAGTTTTGATTCAGAGGGTTGTGGATGTCTTCCTACTTGGGATGCCATAGGCTCTTGATAGGTTTGGCTTTATTGCACTTTGAAACAGCTGGATTGGTTAAGTCATAAGTGGGAGGTATTCTTGTCCAATTGGAATCCATTATCGACTTGGTGTACTCCAACACGTCTTCAGAGCTGACCACTTTTAAGTTTGGGTATGGATTGCAGACGCATGTCTCGCACCTTACACGAGGCCATTATTGTATTAGGGCATGTTGTAGAAAACCAAACTTGTAGCTGAGAACGCTAGGATTTGAGAGAGCAACAAATGAAGAAGACAAAGACATTGTGGGGAAGTTGCATTTGGCAATCTGCGTAAATTGCAAGGTTGGGTCATTGAGAAAATTAAAACATTTTATGTTTGGGATTAAATTTTATTTATTCCATCCGTGATCACATTTCATTACCTTTTGTTAGTATGTATTAATGGTGTTAGTTTATTATTGACATAGCTAATAAAAATATGACTAATACTAAACACATCATCTCAACAAATCCACAATGTCATTAACTCCAACCCAACCTATACTCAACCCCATAAATAAATCCTTTCAATTACACATTCCTGTGTTTCTTCTTCTTCGCCTCGCCAACAACCCCGTTGCCACAAAGTCATCCTCCACCCTTTCCCTTGCATTATTTACCTCCCCTCCACCCCTCTCCCTAGCTCCCCCACTCATCGCTACCTCCCAGCCAGTCCCCGACCACCTCCTCTGTCAACTCAACACCATACACGTCACCATCAACCACCGCACCCCAACTAGCCTTCCTCCTCCACTCCCACCACCTCAAACACCGACGAATCTAAGGCGCAATGCCGCCGTATCTGCTCCTCTAAACTAGCTTCTTCCCAATTGTCTCCGCCTGCCACAATCACTCGGACCTCCTCCACAAGTAAATGACCTACACTCCTTAGTTCGCCTACCCGCTCGACTCCGATCTCCCAGAATTCTGATGAACTCGTAGCTCACGAGTGGGAGTTGTTCTGCTAGGCGCAGAGAGCATTAGGGTTTGATTTGAGTAATTGTTGTTTCTCGTATTTGCAACAATGACTTAAATAGTGTTTTACATCAAGAATCCTTCTCCTACTAGGAATACCATAAATACCATAACAAGTAATTAACCGGACAAAGCCTTAAAGATACTTACGATTATGCCTGGACACCCGAGCGGATCGGCGGGGCGGATCGTCGTGCATGGGCTGCATGGGCTGGTTGGGCTCATCATTGCTCCCCTCCGAAAGAGCAACCTTGTCCTCAAGGTCGGGAAAATGCTCCCGCAAGGCCTCTACTGACTCCACGTCGCATCATCAGCTGGCAAATGATTCCATCAAACCAAACATTCCTTGATGACCGGCCCACCTTGTCGCACCCAAGGATGATCCAACACCTCAGCTGGCTGCATCACGACATCACCATCATCAGAAACGGGAGGAACCTCGCGGGATCGGCTGGTGGCGGACCGCGATACGGTCGAAGCAAGGACACATGGAAAACAGGATGAATCTTCACCCCTTCCAGACTGCAGCCTGTATGCGACGACTCCGACTTTGGCAACAATTGAATTAGGCCCGAAGTAGCACGCAACTAGTTTATGTGAAGCTCACCGAAAAACGGAGTGCTATCTTTATGGTTGGAGCCAGAGAAGAACCGGGCCACCCACCGAGAACTGGAGATCTCTACGCTTCAAATCAGTTCACCGCTTCATGTACTCGTTGGTAGCTGCTAAGGTGGTCTTGAGCTCTTGTAGCACCTCATCTTGTTCACCCAATAATCGGTCCACGGCCTCCACGGAACTAGAACCACCTGCATAGGGAATAATACTAGGCGGATCGCTTCCATACAAAGCTTTGAACGGAGTCATACCAATAGTGCGATGGAAGGAAGTATTGTACCATAACTCCGCCCAAGGAAGGAACATGTGCCACTGTCGTGGTGGCTTGTGTGCAAAACATCGTAAATATTGCTTAATGCATCGGTTAACAACCTCCGTCTGGCCATCGGACTGCGGGTGGTAAGCCAAACTACCTGTGCGGTTAAAGAACTCCTTCCAGAACAGACTGACGAACACCGCGCCCCGGTCACTGACGATCGATGACGGGATCTCGTGATGTCGCACCACCCCGTGGATAAATTCCTCCACGACTTTACGAGCTGTATAGGGGTGAGCTTGTGACATGAATTGTACGTACTTGGTAAGCCTGTCAACCACTACAAATAGGATCGAGCACCCCCCAAAAACTGGTACGCCCTCAACAAAATCCATCGATATGTCCTCCCAGACTTGGCACGGAATGGGGAGCGGTTGTAGGAGACCAGCCGGGGACAATGAGTCCGACTTCACTCGCTGGCAGACATCACAGGAGGCCATGTAGTCACATACGGCCTTCCTCATTTGAGGCCAGTAAAAATGAATGGACAACCTTGCTAAAGTTCGTTGTGCACCTGAATGACCCCCCAATGGCGTGTCGTGGAATTCATGGAGGACGGTCGTCACAAGGATGGTAAGCGGGGGAAGGACGACCCGTCTCTTATAGAAGACCAGCCCTTGGTGGTATGAATGATGCCCCGGCTCTACTAATAATGCCTTGTCCCGGATTGTGCGAAAGGTAGGAGTTGTGCTCCATTGCCGCACGCAGCTCGTCCCAGAGAGCTGTGAATGGTCGGGAAACCGCATCAAGCCTTGGACCCCCAACAGGCCGCGAGAGAGCATCAGCCGTCCGATTACTTGATCCCGTGCGGTAGTGGATTTCATAATCAAATGCAAGCAATTTGCTCACCCATTTATGTTGATCCGTGGTCACAATTTGTTGTTCCAGCAAATACTTCAAGTTGGGTTGATCTGTGTAAATATGGAATTTTTGCCCGAGCAGGTACGACTGCCACATTTCAACCGCGGTGGTGATTGCCAGCATTTCCTTTTGATAGGCTGACCAAGCTGCTTTTGCCGGGCCCAACACCTTGATCATGTAGGCAATCAGTCTCCCTTGTTGTGAGAGAACTGCCCCGATCTCTTTCCCTGATGCATCGGTTTCAATGACGAAGGAAATTTGGAAGTTGGCCATTGCCAACGTGGGAGTGGTCACCATTGCCTGCTTGAGATCCTCGAAGGCCTTCTCGACCAACTCACTCCACCGAAATGCTCCCTGTCAAGGGTTTAGCTATTGCCTCGTACCCGCGAACGAACTTACAGTAGTAACCGGTGAGTCCGAGGAAGCCCCTGAGCTCCGTCGGATTCTTCGTTCGTGGCCAGTCCGTCATTGCGCGAATCTTGTTCGGATCCGCCTTAACCCCTGCATCAGAAATCATATGGCCCAAATACTCCAACTCTCGCAAGCCGAACTCACATTTAGAAAACATGACATAATAATGGCTTTGACGAAGAGTCTCAAGAGTATGACGGACATGAAGTATATGGTCAGCCCACGTCTTGCTGTAGATAAGTATATCATCGAAGAAAACTAACACGTACTGCCGAAGAACGTCTTGAAATACGTCATTCATAGCCGCCTGGAATGTTGACGGTGCATTGCACAAGCCAAATGACATCACCAAGTATTCATAATGCCCATTGTGGGTTCGAAACGCAATCTTTGGCACATCTTCCTCAACCATCCGAATTTGATGGTACCATGCTCGTAGATCCAGCTTCGTAAAGTACTTTGCCCCGTGAAATTCATCGAGCATATCGTCGACAGTAGGAATTGGGTAGAGGTCCTTAATGGTGGCCACATTCAAAGCGCGATAGTCAGTACAAAAGCGCCACGTACCATCTTTCTTTTTGACCAGCAGCACCGGCGACGAAAAGGGGCTAGAACTCGGTTGGATTACGCCGACCTCCATCATAGTCCGCACCTGCTTTTCAATCTTTTCCTTCTGGTGGTATCCATACCTGTAGGGTCGGACTTTTATAGCATCCGCGCCTTCCTTCAACTTGATACGATGATCAAATTCTCGTGAAGGAGGAAGCTCTTTTGTTTCTTCAAAAATTGCCTCGAACTACCGCACAAGCTCTTGCATCTCTGGTGCTAGTGGGGGCGATATCCTCAGCTCGCAATGGTACACAGATCGCCCACATCAAGTCCTTCTCAATAGAAATCTCTTCATAACTCACATGTCGAAGCTCCGCCTCCACTCCTTGTAGCTGGTGCTCCTTATCTCGCCATTTAAATTTCATTATCAACGTCTTCCAGTCACATATAACCGGTCCCAACTCTTCTAACCAATGCACGCCAATCACCATATCCAATTGATGACTTGATATATACAGATGTTTTTATCCACCATTCTTATGCCGTTTGAGCTTCATTTCTCGTATCTTAGGCCGATTTCACGCTAGGTTGTTCTCGTTTGTGTTATTTCAGGTCCTAGTACGTTATTTCACGGCCGTGTGGTCGGGAAATTCTGGGTTTCAACCCAATTTCGAGCCAAAGGAGAGGGAATCGATTTTCTGGAGCAAAAACAGAGCTCTAGAGAGAGAAAGTGCGAAAACACCCCCTAAGAGTGGTTTTGGAGCTGGGTTGCATCAATCAAGCTTGGAAATCATCCTTGGAGTGAAGATCATCATCCCTGAGCAGATTCTTCCCATCTTGATGAGTATGACTGTTTTGTTTCCTGTTTTCCTCTCTCTCTCTCTCTCTCTCTCTCTCTATGGAGTAGAACCCTCTCTCACTTGGGTATGAAGAACTCTAGTTCTATGTGTTAGGGATCATTGTTGTAACGACGTTTAGATTGTGATATTGTTGGATTATAATTGATTGAAGTGTGTTGGTTGAGTCAAGTGAGCAAGTGGATAGCTAATAGCCATCCTCCAACAACGCCAATTCAACCTCCGGCTCCCTGGAATCTATGTTGACAACGTCCTCGCTTCCCGGTCCCCCTCTCTCTGCCCCTGCCACAACGACTTCCTCCTCCCTCCTCTCCTTCGATCTTGAAAAGCTCTCGGTTCTCTGCCGCGGCAACGACAACACCATCTACATGGTCCGCCACCACCGCACCTCCGTGATGCACGCCTTCAAGCAAAGTTGTTGCCGACAACAACGAAAAGGGATTTGAGAAGAAGAGAGAGACCACACAAAATCCTCCTTTCTAACCCTAGAAATCAAGAACAACGACATAGAAGAGAGAGGTTGCATATGATTACATCTTACTCCATTTAACTCTCGATGAAGCAGCTCAACGCCTCACCATATTAGGCATCGCTTAATGGCGCCTTCAACTGACTAGGCGCCGCTAGGCGCCGCTTAATCTCCGTCTTCCTTCTCCTAATCGATTTTGACGCTTAGTTCTCCGTCTTCCCCCAAACCAAGGCAATATGCAGTATCAGAATCAACAAAAGAAAAGGAGAGATGAAACCTATTAAATTCGATTCGTGCCCTAAATACATAATAAAAATTATTACCTTTGATGATGCGCTGTTCATGCCCTAGGTTACACTGGCTGCTATGTTTTTTAGAGGAAGTTCAGGTTTTCAAGTGGGGAGGAAGAGGAGTACTTTTCTGTCTAACAAAGGGAAGGAGAGGGAAAATTTCCCAACACTGAAAAGTTGGCCGCCGATCTCTAATTTTCACCAAACAAAATGAAAAAATATATGTTAATTGGCCAAATAGTTATTCTAACAACTGGATTTGACATAACAAAACTAAAGCCATATATTATGACGAACCGTTATTTTGTCGGCTCGTGTTGGAAATCATAATCCCCATTATGACAAATTGGTTTGTCATTTAAATATATCATGATGACATAATATGACGAAAGCTACTCTGACAATTAATTTTGTCATATTTTAGTCCCATACAATCGGATATGGAATGCCTATTTTGACAATAACATATGTGACACAAGATGTTTGTCACATTACCCATCTACTATGCCCAACACTAATGACAACACATTAACTTGTCACATTAGGCATCCCAAATAGGAAAAATTTGAGTTTTGTCATATTACACCTTCTATTGTGACAAACCGTAAGTGACAAAAAGTTAAATTTTGTCACAATAGAGCAAATTTGTTGTAGTGAACATTTCCAATTGCCAATACTCTCTCCGCTTCATCGCCTTTACATGTTGTTTCTCACCGGTAGCACGAGTCTGTCGTGTATCCTTCTGTGCCTCCCATTTTGCAGGATCCACCTCCCATACCTTCGCCACCACTCCCATCCACCCCGTTCTCAAAGGAAAAGATCAAGGAGGAGTGGCGGCCGAAACTGCAGGTAGCTAAGCCTGCTGAAAAGGAAGAAAAGAGACCACTATGAGCTGGTCTCGGCTCCTCAGCCTCGACCGCCTTGGCCATCTGAGTATTCACTCGCTTGCATCCTGCCGGATGGCCAGGTCGAGTTGAAGAGTGTTGGTGGTCACACTCGTCGAGTGCATGTTCCTACACCTCTCTGAGCATCCATCCTATTGACGTCCAGCTAAAAGACGATAAAGAAGCTCTTGTGGGGAGGAAACCCCACCAAGGTTTGTTTTCCTTTCGTTTATTTTCGGTTTGTCCACTTGGAACTATGGTTTCTATCACCCAGTGTGTTTTGCTGATGCTAGCCTCGCTGACTGGTCCACTTCCAGTCCCCTGACAGTCTTTTCTTCGGTAACATCGTTCCCCTTCTCTTTCCCTCTGCTCCATTGAGGGAAATGTCGAACTTAAGTGTGTGTGTGTGGGGGGGGGGGGAGGGGTGCTTTATATTGGTTGGAATCTGTATATGTGTGCTTGGAGCCTAGTCCGCTGCCCAAATCTCGAGATTTGAGGGCTCCAAGTATTGAGGTTTGCATGATCATATTGGCATTGTGGATTTGATTGATGAATCGAATGGATTTTGAATTAATGCATGATAGCTTGATTGTAACTAGGACAACCTATGATGATGACTGAGACGTGCAGTAGAATTGTGTAGGGGTTCAGTTTTTTTCTCCAACTGTTTGCTTACCAACTGTGACTTGGATTGATAACTTGCTCTTGACAGTCGTTTATGCATCTAGTTCAGGGAATCAGAATGAGAGATAGAGCATATAGGTAGCCATATGAGATTTGAGCCTGCTCGTTTCTTTCTTGTGCGATAGACCCCTCTTCCATGATGTGTAGCATTCACGTTGTCACTAGCTGAGATGATGGAGGCATAGGATTAGCCCACGACCAAATTGACTGTCCTGGTGTGTCATACCCCCTAGTCAGCCCCTTTGAGCAGTGCACTTTTCTTTCTTTCGGTCTACAATGGAAAATCACCTTTTTGCATCTCTTAGAAGGTTCCACAGAGTGGTATTTGCATGTTCTCTGTTGTTTCTGCTAAATTTAATGTGAAGGTTGGAGGTAATGCTTAAAAATTGGGCATGTGTTTGAAAAATGTGCAGAGGTGGTGGTTCTCTCAAGAAATGAAAAAATGAAGAAAAAAAGAAAAAGAAAAAAATGAATGAAATCAAAAGAGAGCCACTACCCAGAATTCTGAATCATGCTCATTAAGTAGTGTTTTTTAGCAGTCTGGCTTGTAAATACTAACATTTATGTGACCTCCTTCGCTCTTGTGCTCTAGAGAATTTGAGTAATGCAGAATGACAGAAAGAAAGTTACTGGTTTGATTGGTTGGGAATGTGTTGGGTTTGGAACTGTGGAACCTTGTGCTATGAATACTTCCACCACCTAAAAGACTTTTCTCCATGTCCAAGACCCTAGCTAGTCACTTGAAGCTGTGTCTAAGACCTCCAGATTAGTTAGTGGTGACATCCCTTGTATGAACTCTAACATTTAGAGGCTGCCATCATGGTGAAGAGACGTTAGGATTTGAGAGAATAAGCATGCGCATTTTTCACATCAAAGTGTCCTGGCCCCACTGGTCGAGAGTGAGCGATTCATTTCCTTGTTCTTTATGCTCTTTACCCCGGCGAGGACCTAGATGGCTCGATTTTGATTCTGATGTCTTGAGTGTGATGCATGCGATGGCTGTCTTGGTCAAGTGGTTGAGTCAAGTCTATGTTGGTTAGTGAACATAAAGGATTCCTCTTCCTTTACCCAATTTTGCTGCACTCGAATGTCCTCTGTGGTGGTTGTCTAGGTTGCTGTTGATGTGTCCTTATGTCAATGATCAAAAGCAGTATGATTCATGTGTTCTGTGCCTTTATGATTTGTCCCCAAAGTTGGTATGATTGAAATATGTTGAGCTTACCTTGTATCTGACTTGGTTTGCTTGGGGACAAGCAAACGGTTAAGTGTGGGGGAATTTGATGACTTGATATATACACATGTTTTTATCCACCATTCTATGCCGTTTGAGCCTCATTACTCGTATCTTAGGTCGATTTCACGCTAGGTTGTTCTTGTCTGTGTTATTTCAGGTCCTAGTACGTGATTGGAGGTTTGGGAGCGAGTTTCGGGTCGATTGGACAAAAGTTGGACGTCTGGCGAGGAGCTGAGGAATCCACACAGTCAGACCTTGCAGCCACACGGTCGTGTGGAATCCCATGATGCGGCCAAGCCACATTGGCCGTGTAGTGGACCCCTTGTGGCCGTGTGGAAAGTCCAGGTAGCTCACATGGCCAGACTGGAAATCCACACGGCCGTGTGCTTCTGGCCGTGCAGCGTGCCTGAAGTCCACTAATCGAAACGCGGCGTTTTGACACTCACACGGGCAGACTGGAAAGCAACACTGCCGTGTGGTCGGGAAATTCTGGGTTTTAACCCAATTTCGAGCCAAAGGAGAGGGAATCGATTTTCTGGAGAAAAAACAGAGCCCTAGAGAGCGAAAATGCGAAGAACACCCCCTAAGAGTGGTTTTGGAGCTCGGTTGCATCAATCAAGCTTGGAAATCATCCTTGGAGTGAAGATCATCGTCCTAGAGTAGATTCTTCCCATCTTGATGAGTATGACTGTTTTGTTTCCTGTTTTCCTCTCTCTCTCTCTCTCTCTCTCTATGGAGTAGAACCCTCTCTCACTTGGGTATGAATAACCCTAGTTCTATGTGTTAGGGATCATTGTTTTAATGACGTTTGGATTGTGATATCGTTGGATTATAATCGATTGAAGTGTGTTGGTTGAGCAAATTGAAGTATGATCATCTTTTATTGATTTATGCTGCAACCTGAGATAGATAGAATATGATTAGATTGTTAGAGCTTCTTCAATCGATAATAGTGAATTGATTATACGAGAGTTAGTCGATTCATTGCTTTGTACTGGAACTTAGTTCCAGTAGTGGAGTTCTGTGTTCATAACCTCAGCTTTCTATCCCAGTGAAGGCTAGTCGTCTGCCGGGTAGTTTGACTGAGAGGGATTGGTCAGCTTAAGAGATTCCAAGCTACTGTCGGATCTTCCGCAATATAATCAACAGTAAAGCATCCAGAAGTAATTACAAGTGTGACCTAACTAAGGAGCTAGGGGGACTCATTCCCGAGTGACTCTTCCCTTTCTTTAGAAAACCGAATCATTTCCTGTTTTCTTACTACTTTTACTTAAAACCACAATCACTCGACTTAGTTTGCTAGATAATAAATAATCATGGAGTAGGCAGTAGATCTAGGCCCCTGGTTGACAAATAGAGCTTGACACTTACTGCATTTTCGGACTGCGATTACACTTGGTCGCAGTTTGTTGTTGTGTTTTAGCGTGTTACCGATCCTCGGATGGGCAAAAAAATAATGAGATTATGAGCTCCGACCCTTGAATTTGCACCGGTATCGCAGAACACTGCATCATGCACTTCAAGCGCCCACCATTGGCAATTCGCACGAAAAACGACATCGTTGGCTCCAACGCTAACTTCATCTCTTCCGCCTTGCTTTCGAAAATAAAATTGTGGGTCGACCCACTATCGACCAACATCACAGCTGAAATTCCTTTGACATGTGCATGGAATCGCATGGTTTTAGGGCCCGACACCCCTACTGCTGCGTTGAGGGATATTTATGCCTCCAACTTTGCCTTGACATCATTGGCGTCAACGCATGCTACGTTGGCATCGACGCAGGCTACATCGTCGTCGCTCCGCTGATTTCCTATGGCCAGTTCGCGGTTAGGGTTGTGTTCCAACCTTTGCATTAGTTGCTCGATCGTGTCACAAAGGGCCTCGGTTCTTTTGCCAGACGCTACCGTCTGTACGCGAGTCTCAAAAGCATAGTGGTACAGTTCTTTGAACGTGGCCAGGTTCAGAACCATGGCTCTGATACCAATTGATGAATTCGTAGCTCACGAGTGGGAGTTGTTCTGCTAGGCGCAGAGAGCCTTAGGGTTTGATTTGGGTAATTGTTGTTTCTCGTATTTGCAACAATGACTTAAATAGTGTTTTACATCAAGAACCCTTCTCCTACTAGGAATACCATAAATACCATAACAAGTAATTAACCTGACAAAGCCTCAATGATACATAGGGTTTGGCCTGGACACCTGAGCAGATCGGCGGGGCGGATCGTCGCGCATGGGCTGGTTGGGCTCATCAAATTCATAATCCTCCACAAATGCCACCCGCTGCCCCGCCGCTGCTTCTCCAAAACCACGTCGAAGCCAGGCCACCTTCCTCTCTTGCAACTCATTCCCTTCCTCCCAGCTTGACTCTGGCGTGCTTTGGGGGAAGTATAGCTGCAAGTCGTCTGCTTGACTGGCTAAGGAGAATCTAAACCTGGGATTCGATCTAGGAATCGAGATCTCAAAACCCATGACTTACAAGATTGAGCTCGACCTCTCTGATCCCGCGGCTGATCCAGATTTCCATAATTGACAACTCACCGATGCGGTTGGGCATCAATATCAACGGCTGGATGGGTACCTTCGCGGCAAGGATGAATTAGTACAACTTGTCGGTGCTGACAACGATGATGAGGAAAACAAGAGGAAAGGGGAAGGCCGTAGGGGCGGGTCTTTGTTAGCGGGAGAAGAGAGGAGCGCGAAATTGTGAGATCTATGTTAGTGAGGAAGAAAAGAGGAAAGGGGAATGGCCAGGAAAAGAGTAGGGTTGAATTAGGATGGTAGGTCAGTTAATTGCGTGGTTTAGTTAGTGTTTACCCATACAAAAATCAGCTCGTACTAGGTAGATTAATTATCATAGATTAAATAGATTTTTAAGGCCAGATCAATAGTACTAATGAAATGAGATAGCTGGACCTTATTAGGATAGATTTTGGGCCTAAGTTTCCAAACTCCATATCCCTGTCCTAGTGGCCGACCACCCCCATAGCCCAGGCGATGCCTCCTCTACATTGGTATGCAATATGGCTCTAAAAAAATTAAGCATTGAGATAAAATATGTTTCGTAGCCAGCTAAGAGGGTACCAAGATGATAAGGTAGACTTGATACGGAGACATAAAATTTGGCTAAATATGGAGCCAACAGGGTACCTAGCCATTAAGGTAGCTAGGCTTGATACCAAGACATGAAATTTGACTAAGTATGAAAACAAGGCATACCTGGTAGTTAGCCAAGAGGGAACCAAGCCGACAATGCAGACTTGGTAACAAGATACAAAATCGACTAAGTATAGAGCCAAGAGGGTACCAAGGCGGCAAGGCAGGCCTGGTAACCAAGTATGAAATTTGGCTAAGTATGGAGCCAACGAGGTACTAAGCCGAAAAGACAAGTTTAGTACCGGCAAGGTTAAGGTCAAGAGCGGGAGGATCCGTACCTGCCATATTGACAGTGGGGAGTCACTGGGGGATTCAGTTTTGGTAGTCAAGAAAGCTTTCATCTGCTTGAGTTGAGCTGCTTTCAGAACCAGAACGTTGCTCTCATTGGATTCGACTTGAGCAGAGACCAAAATTGGTTCCCACAACCATGACCACACTTTCCATGTCAGCCTTGACCAACTTGTTGATTTATCCCCCCATTTGATTATGTTGGCCTCCCAATTATCTCATAACATGACTCCTTGAAGTACCCAATTATCCCATAACATGTCTCCTTGCAATTTGTTGACGAAGGGAGCTCCTTTTGGGCCTTATCCGTGGGCAATGTAGTCCAAATCCCGATTTTAATCTTAAAATCTTACGATTTTGCGATCTTACCTATGGGTTTCGATCCTGATTTTACTACAAAATTTTTGAAACTTAAAATCCCATAAAATCTCGATTTAAAACTGTAAAATCCTTAAAATCTATAATTTTTATGTTTTTTTTATGATTTTAAAGTTCATGTCAATTGGAGCAAAATCAAGCTAGTCAGGTCGGATTTTTCCCATGAACTGGGTCACTCACTTCCCCCAACCCAACATCATGAACAACATAACCCTAAACCGATAGGTGACCCTCAATTTATATTTGTTCTCTTCATCATCTCTTCCTCTTCCACTTGCCGACACCCAACCCCTTCCATCAACGATTTCCTTCACCCCCACAATTAGCTTAGAGTTTGTTCCTCACCACACTCGCAATTAGCCCAACCCCATTCCCTTGCGAGCTTTCGTTCATCTCCGAAACCTTCTGTACCACCATCCCCGACCTTTTATCGATCAAGAAGGGAATGCATCAATCAATGAGTTACCTTTTCCAGATGATGGTTATTAATGAAATATGTTCAATGGTGACCTTACTTCAAGTGATCCTAAGAATAATGATATGATTGCTCAAGCAAATAGATAAGTATTCTATGAGGATGTGAGTGAGGGTGAGGATATGTAAGAGATGTTAATGTTGATCCTAACAATCTTATGTGATTTTCTACTCTTAGTTATTATTTGTGTTTATTTAACAAACAAACTTATATTGGAAATATGTGGTTGAATGTTGTACAGGACATGCATTGTTATTACTCTATGGATATTAAGTGTTCATTTTAATACGAACCATAGAATCTTATGATTTTAATATACGATTCCGATTTTACCTCAGTTTTCGATTTTACTTAAAATCTCGATTTTGATTGCATTGGCCTCGGGTTTTACTTGAGCATGCAATGGTGCATCTTCGACCTTTGGTCGACGACTATTTGTAATCATGCATTGTTGCTCATCATTGCTCACCATTTGATAAGCTTTACCAAGATTCCGTGTGGGCTTCATGGATAGAACTTGACTACATACTATATTGAAGACATCTAAACCGATAAAAAAAATAAAAGAGCCTGTTGTTGTCTTCAGTATACGCCTCCATTTCTCGATTCCACAAGTGTAGAGACTGCAGGTGCACTTGGGTGTTGAAGAGATTGCTTGAATCCCATCCCAGAGGCTGCAAAGTTTTGTGTAGAAGGCAGATACACTCGCTTTCTCTTGTTGATGAAGAGATGTGGATCGACGATGCTGAACAAACGTGCTAGACTCCCCATGCCAAAGCGCTTCTTTAGATCAAACCATATTTGTTGTGCGGTTTCAGCAAAACGCATGGTTAGACAAACTTATCGCGACAACGAGTTCTTTAGCCACCCGATGTCCATGGCATTACAACGCACCCATGTGTTTTGCTGCCATTTTGCTTCGACCTTGATGAGTTTTCCAGCGACAAAACCTAATTTATTTTTTGCCAAAAGTGCTTGGCGCATATCAAATTCCCACTCTTCGTAGTTCGACTTGATGAGTAACTCACCTACAAACACATGTCCAAGTTGATCCGATGGGTATAGGAAATATGGTTAGGAAGGGTTTGGACCGTCTTTCATCAACGCCAGAAGCACCAGCGAGTTCTTGCGTATCACCAACCGTGACAGAGAAACCCTAGGACAGGCGGTCAACGTATCAAGACAAAAAATCGACAACACGACATAAAATAATAACACAACCAGGATCTAATGCCATGTGGAGATGGAACTTGGATCACTTAAAACGAGGATATGATACTATGTGAAAATCGACAACACGGAATAAAACAATCACACAACACGGAAATTTTAAGTGGTATCCCTGTTCGATGTGAACAATACTAATCCATGGAGAACTCCAAAGAGCTCTCGACTATGACTTTATTGATTGATGACTTGATGATCGACTTCAAGCTGAACTTGCTACCTATACAATTAGAATTGACAACCCTAGTCTTTACGACTGAGACTTGCTTGACGACTAAGCAAATGAAAGGAGAGACAACTACTACACGGACACGAACGATTGGACAATTACAATCCGATCCTTGACTATGACTAAGTGACATTTTACACCGTATAATATAATAAGGAGACTTGTTACTTTGTAAGTTTTCATTGTGGAGTTAATGGATCTATATGTAAAGCTCACAATTCTAAGCTCTACAAGAGTTAAATACCTACATACTAAAATGTTGTATGCGTTGGCACTTGGCAGAGTTGTAGTTCAGTTTCGTTGGCACTTGAACAACGAGATTGGTCATCGGAGGTTCTTGTCCAATTGGACTCGATTATCGACTTATATTTGTACTCCAACTCGTCTTCAAAGCTGACCTTTTATTATTATTATCATATTTTATTATCAAGAGAGAAAACATTATCGTATTAGGGCATGTGAGAGAAAACGAAACCTAGCAGCTGAGAAAGCTAGGATTTCAAAATCAAACAAATGTAGAAGAAGACAACCAGCTATTGCCGGAATTTGGCGATCTATAGTGGCTTCGCTGGTGTACTCATTTTCTTAGTGCATTGAATACACTAATTTCTTTCTCTGGTCTTGATCATTAAATATATCTAATGGTTGTAAATATTTAATAAATAAATAAATAATAATATATAACACATCTAATAGTTAAACTATGAAATTATTAATAATTGAAATAAAATTTTTAATATAAATGCACTAAATGTCCTAATTTTATATAAAAATTAAAATCTTAATCGTAAAATACTATGAATTTAAGGTATATATAAGAAACTACTAAATAATATTAATAAGGTATATCATGAATAACACAAAGACATATAATATTTAATGTTCATTTCTTAAAGTTAATGTTCCAATTTCTCAAGGTTAATGTTGAGAGGTGGTGAATCGGTGATAATTAATGAGTTTATATGAATGGATGATGATGTATGGCGGCCAGTGAGAGAAAACTAGATGATTTTGATGGACGAGAAGGAAAAAATGTTAGGTTTTGCTTATTTGTTGTTTTTGATAGACATTCCATTTTATCTGGGTTAAACATATGTGATTAAGAAAAAAAAATTGTTGATTGAGGTTGGCAATTACAAATCTTAAACAACTTTTCAAACTCATATTTAAGCGTTTAATGAGAAGATTCATGGACCACTTAGATTAGCAATAGCAAATATGGAGATTCCGATTTTGATTAGAGGTTTGAATTTTATTAGCAGGTGTTGGTAAGTTGTCTTTTGGTATGAATTAAATGAATTAGACAATGGTCTAACAATAGGGTAGCCCATTTGGTGGCTAGAAAGGCCCTTTATTTGTACCCGGCTACAAGTAGTTATTTTGATTTTCAGGCCTGGCTGTCTTCCAGGATGTAATACCGTTTTGTTTCAATCTATAGAAATGATTATCTTTTGTAAAAAAAAAAAAAAGACAATGGGCTAGTTTGGCCCTATTGTAGTTTTTGCAGAAACAGCTTTTGATTATAGTTTTTAGAGAAGCACTTTTCAAAAAAAACAGTTGAGTGTTTGGCTGAAAAACTAGTAGAAGTGATTTTTAATATAAAAGGTTATGTGAAATGACTATAAAGGATTTATAATATAAAATATGAGTAAAAATATAAACAATAAAAAGTAGTGAACATGGATCTTGTTAGGTTTCTTTTATGAAATATTATGATTTTATAATTTATTTTATTTTTAAAATGATATAAAGGGAAAAATTATATTTTTTGCAATAAAATTAAAATATGATAAAGATAATATTTTATTTTCAAAACAGCTTTTCGTAGAAGCTACAAATCGGAACTTCTACTTTTATGTTATACAAAAGCACTTTTCAGCTTTTCAAAAACGGAGTTTTTAGAGGTGTTTGGCTCTGCTTCAACTTTTAAATCACGAAAGCACTTCTATAAGTCGGGCCAAACATAGACAATAGCTTAATCTCGTTATTAGATGGTTGATTAGTTATTTAGATTATTGGGCTTTTGCATAGATTGGGCTTGGATTTCGAAACAATGAAAAAAATAATAACCATGTTAATGTTAGCATAATTACATTTGCACTAAAATGAAATCGTAATTAAAAAAATACTAATAATGATTACAAATGCATTATCAAATAAAAATTATCATTAATTAACATTGCAAAATTATCATTAATTGTAAAATGGCCAAGGTCAGAGCGCATTATGCTGCACACAAAGTCAGGCCCACCGAAAGCAAGTCAACCATCTGTTATGCCTAAGACAACCCGTCCCAAAGTCAACCAAATCAAGCCCACTCAACTTCGATCAACTGGTACGACCAACCAATACCTGATCCGACCCTCAAACTGGACCCATTGCTATAACCTATAGTAGGTGATAACATCCAAAATTGTGTTATTTAGCCTTCATTTATTAAATATTTTATTGTCATTTTGAGCATGATTCGATTATAAAATTTGTAGCCTAGATCGCTTCCTTTTGTTATGTCATATTATTCTAAATTGCATTTGACGTCACAAACGAAAAATAGAAGAAAATGGAGCTAATGTGTAGAAAAAAGGGGCAAATAATGGAGTTCGCAGCTGAAGGAACCAAGATCACAACTTTTAGCGCAAAGATCACGACCACGCATAGAGGGCATGAACTAGAGCACCAAGATCACAAACTTGAAGCTAAAGATTGCGGCTGCGAACTATGGATTTTCGGGCGCGAACTTGGAGATGCAGACGTCAAAAAAGGAACATAAAGTCTTGATAGTCGGCTCCCGACTCTTTTCATCCGAGCACGTGAGAAAGATCGCGGCCGTGACTCACAGATCACGATCTCCAAAGCCAAACAAGACCAAAGGCGCTGAAGCCACGATCACAGTTTCTCTCGCAAAGATCATAGCCATAATTTTATGCCCCTTGCCCATGTCCTCAAAATTCTATAACCCTCAAGATCGCAACCTCTCCACAAAAGATCATGGCCATGATCTTCTGCCCCGTGCCCGTGAACTTGCTAGTGTCTGCAGAATTCTATAACTAGGGGACGCCTCCCCTTGAGTAGATTGGCTTTTGGAAATTTTTTTATTCTAGAGTGAAGCTAGAGAGAGAAGTTGAATGAAAGAGAGGAAGAGAAGGAGGAGAAGGGGGAGCCAAGAGGGAAGGAAGCTCTCTCAACATCAAGCCTTTTCTATATCTTCAATGTATCTTCTCCACACCCCCCCCCCCTTATGGGGTAGTTCTCTAGTGATAACGCCCTAGATGGGTGTTAATGATCAAGAGTTGCGCAGCTCCTTCCCAAACAAAGGAATTGATGAATTCCTTTTGTCTCGAACACAAACAGAGTCTCTTAACGAGCTTAGGTAACCAAGTTTGAATGTAGTTTGGATGGAAACTAAATAGAAATCTAACACCTGGGAGATTGCAGGATATAAGGACGCCTTCGATGTAATCGAGTGGGGTTTCTCGATCAATAGGCCAGTTTCAGCAAGTTTTGATCGCAACCAAAACCAAGAACAAACTCACAACGCACATGTTGGGAATTTTTGGGGTTTTCTCTTCAATTCAACTCTGAATGTTACAATTCGTGAATGAGGGCTTTTATAGGCTTAAACAACTACAAACAAACTAAAACTAGAACTGAAATTAACCTAATTCAACATGGAAACAAAATTAAACAAGTAATCTGAATCCAACTCGGAATCCTAATGCCTTGCGGATTGTGGCAGTGCAAGATATCATCTTCGATGATCTCGCAAATGATCTTTCCAGCCTTGGCAATCTCATCCAATGTCTTCTCGTGGCTTAGAAAATGTTCCTCTTTCATTCCCAACTTGATTCAGCAGCTGGATGTACACCAAACTCCAGGAATTGTGTCCCAAAGTCAACACCTCGATCAGGTTAAATGCCTTAGCTAAAATTAATCGGTTTCTGGTTCTGAGCTAGCATCTTGGTGAGCTTAGAAATCAATCTTATGGACTTCCCCTTGATCCACCAAGCACTTGTTGTTGAAGAAGACTTCTCTAGCTTCAAAACAAGTTATTAAACACACATTTCCATGGAGCCAATCTCTTTATCTGAGCCTTCCAATTAGGTAACCTGAAACAACCAAAAGTCTTGGCCAATTTTCAGGTTCATTGTTGCTTAATGAACTAGCTTCTTGATCAATACATGGAAGCTTCAATGGCTCGTAATTTGGGATCATATAAGGCCCCCTGTCGAAAAGCTTTGCCATCAAAGCTTGGGTCTTCTTCTTCTCGAATGCGTCACAGAATTGATCCCAAATTGGGTTCAATGTAGGCTGATCAAACACCTTTTTCTAGAAATCGAGGGCACTGTTCTTCGTTGAACGAATTGGGGCTTTTGTCCTGAAGGATTTCCAGTGCAATTCGACACTTCCCAGAGCTTTGTTGGGCCTCCAATCGAAGTTCTATACCTGCCCGAAGTTTCGACTCATCGCCATCTTCCTCGAATCGACGAAGTTCTGTTTCCCGCCATCGTCTGTATTTGAATTCGACGAACCCAGAAATTCAATTTGAAAATTGGGGACTTTTGATTTTGGGATTTTCAAACTCAATTGTTGCTTCTTACAGCTTCCCAGGACCTCCCTCGATGATTCTGCATCGTCAGTTTGGTCCGAATCGTCCCCAAACTCTCCAACCCATAGTCTCAATTTTTTGCTTGTGCTTGCTCGTTTCCAGGGGCATTGGAGCTCGAATTGGATCAATCGATTCAGGTTGAATGGACGCCTTCTGATCCATGGGAAAGCTTCTTGATGGATCATGGAAGCTTCCTGAAGGCGGAGAGTAGCCTCGCTGAAGGGGGTCACGACGCAAATCAGGGTCATGCCAGCAGTGTCAACACCATAGTAGCGGGCCAAGGCTGTGATCACCGGTCCACAGGCAAGAAAGCGATCCTGAGAGGCAGCGGCCTTGGTGAGGGTGCGAGTGATGACACAACCAAGCTGGATAGTGTCCTCCTCCAAGCCCATCGCGTGCATGAAGTACAAAGTCCGGAGGGTGACCCGGTTGACCGAGCAACGATTGGAAATGTAGGACTAGGTGAGAAGGTGGTTAAGGATCCGCCACTCCGGACAGAGTAGAGTGGCCCGCGTCTAGCTAGGTATGTACTCCTCATCCACATTCTCCAGGAGGCAGATGAGCTCGTAGTAGGCCTGGTCGGGAAATGAGGTGGAATAGGTCTCCTCCACGACCAAGGGGTGACTTATGGAGTGAGGGGAGTTGGGGTCAAGTGCAGTGGCCAACTCCTAGTAACTGACAGAGTGCTCGACCCCGCCGAGGGTGAAATGGACGGCGTCAGCATGGTCAGCCGACTTCAGCTGTGAGTGAGAGAAGGAAACGTAGAACTCTCCGACCAACTCATGGTAAGTTGGCTCAGCGAGGCAGAGGAGGCGCCGCTAACCATAGGCGCGAACAGTAGCCTCCATCGCCTCGCAACGTGGAGCGCCTCGAACACCTCAAAGTCCCGATGCAGGTGTTCGGAGATATGGTGGGTGCGGATGGTCCGCAGTTGGTGGCGCTGAGTAATGCTCAAGAGGTCCAGGTAGTGCTTCATGATCCTGCAAAGCAACAGAAAGCACAAATGCCACACAACGGAGTGGTTTCATGTTAGGCGAAACCACACCAAGAGCCGTCAAATCGAAAGATTCGGATAGTGGACTAGGCTCCTAGTGGAACATGCAAGCTACCCATAACCATAGAATCATCCACAACCACAACAGGAGCCCTCAAATCGAAAGATTTGGACAGTGGACT